CCCCTGCTGCCCCCCCCCCAAAACCCATCACCAAAACCTCATATCCAATATCAGGACCCAATAGAGTATGACTGCGACCTGTGGAATGGTGACGGCCGGGATCGCACGATCATCCACATCGACACCTGTGAGCGCCCCCCCCCTCCACCGCTCGGCGGCGCCCCGGTGCTGGTGCTGGCACCCCACTTGTCAGGCACCCCTGCCGCAGCCCCTGCCAGCCGGCATGCGCGGGCTGTTGGCCCTTGCCTAGCTCCTCTAGCCCCAAAGTGTTATTGTACTCTGCAATGCGCACCACACACCCACCCGTCTCTCCAAACATCAATCTCGGCCCACTGTTCCACACCGTCACCTCCTCCTGCACTCCACCTCCCCCAATCTGCCCACATCCTCCCCCACGCCCCATGACACGCCCGCGACGCCCAGCCGCCGCTGAGCTGGACAACTGCTACACGCCGGCCGTCGAGCTGACGGGATCCATCGCCGCCAGCGTGTCGCAGCTGCTGCCCTACCTCGAGCGCCGATCCCTGCTGGACGCGTCGCTGCGCAACGAGCTGCGAGAGGCACGCGCCGACCTCATCGCAGCGGTCAAGGCGCACGCGCGCGACGACCGCGTGCCGGTGCACCCCCTGAGGTGGGCGCCCCGCGCGGGGGCCGCTGGCGCGCGGGCGCCGCCGGCGCGCGGGTGCGGCTGTGGAGGTGGCGGCAACAAAGCTCCGGGTGCAGACGCGCGTGAGAGGGCCCCGCGCCACACCAGTTGCATCTGCCGATGCGTCGCTGCGGCGTGCCTCCCCCTCTATCTGCTGCAACTCTCCTAAGGCACGCCCCCCTCCCCTGCCGCGCCCCCCAACCAAGGCTCGTGAGTGACCTCCAGTCGGTGTTCGATGGCCCCGATGGGGAGAGGATCAAGCTTTTCCTGGATATGGGCAGCCACCACATCTGGTGCGCACGTGCCTATGCGCGCGCCTGCGGCCGCTGCTGCTTTGGTCGCCTGAGGGCCGCGCGGCTGAGGAGTGCGCCTGAGCCGCGCGCGCGGTGCGGGTGCGGGTGCCGGCGCCGGTCCGCCGGTTGGTGCAGAGCCGCGTGGGCGCTAGCTGTGGGGCGCCGGAACCCTGGGCGGCGCCACCTGCGGCGCGGGCTTTCGGCGGCCGCTGCCGTCTTGCATTGAAACGTGAGCCTCGACCCTGTCCGCGCCTCACCCTGCCCTTTGGCTGGGCTGCTCCCAAATTCCCCCTTACTGGTGATGTGACTCCATCCCCCCTGCCTCGCCGCGCCTCCCAAAGGAACGCGCGCTACCTGGCAGTCCACCAGCCGCGCCAGATGCTGATCTCAAACGGCCAGCAGACCATGGGCGTTAGCCTGCCCTGGGCCATGAGCGCCGCCCTGGACGCACGAGACCCCGGAAGGTGGGCAGGCGCGGGCGGGGCGCCACCCGCCTGACCGGCGGCGCACGAGGGCGCTGGCTGCGCGCGCGCGCGCGCGGGCATGCAGCGCTGCGACGAAGCCCTGCGGTCACCGAACGCATTCGGCCCCGGCAGATGTGGCCCTGCTGGCCCCAGTCGTTTGTGCCCGCGCTTTTCTGGGCGGCCCCCACCCCCTATTCACGTGCCCGCACCCCTTTTTGCCACAGCACCGTGCACCACGCGTGGAGCGCGGCTGGGGACGCGCGCCTGCCGTCGCTGACGGGCGGCCTCGACACCGGGGAGCGCTTTGTGTCGCTCTCAGGGGACGGCGGCTTCCTGTTCTGCGCCCACGAGCTGGAGACCGCCGTGCGGATGGGGCTCAACCTGACGCACATTGTGTGGGTCGACGGCTCCCTCAATATGGTTAAGGTCAGCGCGCGCGGCCGGGCGGCAGGCGGGCGGGCGGGCGCTCTCGAAAGGCTGTATGTGTATGCGTGCAGGCGAAGGGCGTTGGGGCGCGAGGGGCTGCGTGGCGATGCCGGGCTGGCCGTGCGTGGTGCGCGTGCAGGCGGGGGCTCGCCGGTGGTGACCGATGCCGCTCCCTGCGTGCTCCCTTCTGTGGTATGAAACTCTTGTGACCACACCCAGCGCACGCGCACGAGACCTGTGGCGCGCAATTCGAAATTCAAACGCCGTAGATCCAGCAGGAGAAGAAGTACGGCCAGAGCTTCTGCGTGGACCTGGGCAGCATTGACTACGTCCAGTTCGCAGAGGTGTGAAACAACAGCGCACCGCGCTTGCGCGGCAGGGTGACCTTGTCACGCTGGCCTGGTCCAACCAGGCTCCTGAGTGTCTGCGGACAAAACGCACGCGCGCTGCTGGGTGCAGGGCGCGCACACCCTCTATCTTTTGCCCCCTTTTTGCGCCCAACCTCGCCCCCGCAACGTCCCCCTCCGCGAGCCTTGTGCATCGCCCTTCAACTCATGCCGAGAAAATCCGCGTGTGCTGCCCCGCAGTCCTTCGGCGCGGTGGGCTTCCACGTGACAAAGGCGGACGAGTTCCTGCCCGCCCTCAAGCGCTCGTTCTCCATCCCGCTGCCGGTCGTCATATCAGTCGAGGTTGACTACTCCCAGAACGGGGAGCTCTTCAAGGACGTCATCGACCCAGAGCGCTTCCACTGATGACTCGTCATCAGACGCAGCGGCCTCCCCTTATGACGCGTCACCGGGCGCAAAGCAGACATATTTGCAGGTCGAGGTTGAGCGAGGGGGTCGTCTGTCACGGCCGAGTCGGCCAGAGCGACCCTGGAGGCAGGCGGCTTCGGGAGCCCGCCATCCGTGCGTGCAGGGATTGGCTGCCGCAGGCGCGGGAGGGCGACAAAGGGGATGTTTCTAGAAACGGGGTAGAGCAGCTGAGGCCCGTCGGCCCAAGCAGCGCTGCCAGCATGAGTTGCGGGGCGCATGGGCCCTGCTGGACCCCCTTCGTTTCGCGTTGGCAACACTGATCAAAATCGCTTTGGCAGCCGCCATGTTGTCCATTGCTCTGCACAGAAGGTCGACGAATTGCAATCACCCGTACCGCACACGCAGTTTGAGAACCAGTGTGGCCATGCAGACACGGAATAGCTGACCACAAGCATATGTAGGGCTCGCGCCGCTTTGAATTGCACGCATGCGTGATGATTGCGCCCACACTACACGCCAACAACACCTAAAACCCCAGGCAGGCGCCCTCATCGCTTCTGAGCTAGTGAAGGCGTGTCACCTGCGCCGCTTTTTATCCCTCACCCAACTCCTCCTTGTATCACTGTTAAGGCTTTACATGCGTTCGACCTAATTATTTGCTGGCACATCAATGGATTGATGCCTGCATGTGCCGTGCTCTTTGCTCACACTCTTCTATACTTCCTGAAACGCATGGATACCCACACACTTTCACACTCACCGCAGTCATCCGACCGCATCGTCAAGGTGATTGTGTGTCCTGAGGTTGCTGCTAATCAAAGTCGCCATGTGGAAACCTTCAACAAACCGTTGTGTTACTCAACACTTTCAGGGCAGAACAGCAGGGATTCCAAACAGCCCAAGGGAACAATACGTTGCTCATCAGGGGGTGGCAAGGGGTTTGCTGGGGTTCAAAACGGCACACCATCAACTGCTGCTATGCAAGTGATGACATACAACAAGGAATCATGTGTGACTCCTGAAATTCCTAGAGGGGGGTTGTCAGGCGCCAGGGTTGGAGAAAAGCGGCGCCAGGGCAATAACAATCGTATAAACGCACAGGTGCAGCGCACTCCCCATGTTTGCCATCCGCTGCTCCTGCTGTGCGTGACCAGCGGGTGCGAGGTGCCCCCACTCAGTGGCCGACGGGCCTGGCCACCGTCGTCCGTACAGGGCCTGGAGAAGGCAGGGGGCGTGGTGGAACACGTGTTAGGAACACAGGTCAGCACAGCTGTGCGGTGGGTGCAAGATTAGCTGGAGGCGCAACTGACAATCGCAAGCATCCCAGGTCAGGCGCAACAGTATTTTCACGGCAAGGCGCCTTGCTGCGAAAGTACGCGGCAGTGCGTCCCAGCCCAGCCTCACGCTTCTTGCTCACCGACGCCGGGCGCAAGCGGCGTGGCGCGCGTTGCGGATGTCGTCTGCACGGGCACAGGCAGGAACACGCGAAACCAATCAACGCGTGAGAACAGTGTGCGCGGGCATGGCATAGGCAAAGGGGCGGTAAGCATAGGGCCCAGCCAGCAACCTGGTCGGTAAGGTGCGCCGCTGCCCTCCGTTATAAGCGCACCCAAGGCGTGCGCTGGCCCCCGCACCTGCACCGGGCCCACGTAAGGGTTGTAAGGGGTCGTGCTGGTGGTTTTGGTGACAGGGCCCTTGAGAGGCTGGAGGGGCGTGGCCTTGGTGGTGGTACTGGACACCTGCCCGTTGGCACAGGGTGCGTTAGCCGGGCAATGAGAACTGGGCGGTCGGTGCCAAATGCTGAGTTGCGTGCATGCATCCACGTCCCAAGTGATGTGGGTGCCAGGTTGCACTTGCTGCACGTTATACTTGTATAGTTCAGGGGTGCACTGGAGACCTGCCTACCTTGCCGGCGGGGCCCACAGTTGTGACGCGCGGGCCCTGGAGGGGCTGGCCCACAGTGGGCGTGACAACAGAGAGACCCAGGGGCACACGAGCCGCTGGGCGGGTCGGGGTTGTGGAGGGGGTGCGAGCGGCGTTGCACATGGAAAAGGGGCTGCAGGCCGTTCGGTGCATGGCTTGTGCATGCCGTCAAAGCCGTGGCGGCGCGGGGCGGCAGCGCCGTCGGTAGTTGGCGCAGAGGGGTGATGGCCTCGTCAGCAGGGTGCCCACAGCAGCATCTGCCCGTCAATGGCGATGCTGCCCATGTGTGAAGTTGACCTGCTGCCTCAACTTCTTTTGGGCCTCACCTTGGGCGGCAGCCGCAAACAGCACCAGGGCTGCGACGGCCGCGAGCGCAGAAATGCGGGCCATGTCTTCCGAGTTGCTGTCGGCCGAGTGGTTGTTGCTGGGGGTAAAATCTGAAGTCGAGAATAATCACACCCTTATATTTGAATTCTTGAAATGAAGTTCGCACCGCTGTGTTCGCCGGTCACTGCACGTTCCAAAGCCCACCGCGGTGACACAAAAATTGACGGTCGACAGGCACCAGCACGAGGTGAAGGCAGCGCATATGCTTACCACGATGTTGCAGCCGACGATATTTCCGAGAATTTCTGCGGCGGAGGAGAGCGAGCGAGCCCCGCACGCCAAGGCGCCGCACTGACTACCTGCGCTGACCGAGTGCTGGGAATGATGGCAAAGGTTGGTTACTCAACAATGCAGCACCAGTTCAGGCCGCGCTGGCAGGAGAAGTGCTGTTTTTCATGTCTTGAACGTAGGAGAGTATCATGAGGGTATGAAAGGTGGCTGTAGCCCAACTCAGGTCACTTGTCATCACCTCCACGCAGGTGTCTAGTGTCCCGTGCAGCAACCTGTTCGCGTTTGGGGTTGCCTTATGGAACTGCGTGTGCCTGGCTCAAGTCTGGGCGGGATGCCTGTTAATGCTCAAAGTACCAACTGTCCAGGGATACTTGTAATGCCTGCAGGTTTGGCTGAGTCGCCCTTGCTGCTACGCTGGCACTAGCATGCTCAATTATGGATGCAGTGCGGCGAACAGAGCGGTGAATATTACCCGCAAGCACCAATTTGAGACAGAAGGCCACGCTTGCATTTTATACAACAAAGACAGGGTGTCAGGTGGAGAACCGTGCGACATGCGGGTCGTGCCTCAACCACCCCTGCGCGGATGAAACCGGTCATCAAGAGGCAATGGTGGGCGCCAGGCTCGCCCGCGTGCCGTCGGCTGTCACGCGTTGCCAGTGCTCCGCGTTGCTGCAGGCCGGCTGCCCCCGGAGCGCGCTGCCGCCAAGGGGCTAGGGCCATGCTGCGAGTGCTGTGCTGTCTGTCAGCCACTGCTGGTGGTCCAGGGGTTATGCTGCTGCTTCATTGCTGCTGCAGCGCAGCCCTACTCAGCCGCGGCAGGGGCTGCCTTCTTGGCCTTGGGAGCAGCCTTCTTCTTGGGCGCCGCCTGCGGTGTGGCAGGGGACGTATGCAGGGGCCCCTGCTTGAGATTTTGACTATGACAATTGACCTGGCAAGTGAATGCCCTCCCTGTCGTCCCAATGCAAGCAACAGCAGTGCCTGCATTCAACAACACACACATACACACACACAGACGCACCTTGGCCTTGGGCTTGGCCGCTGCCTTGGGCTTTGATGCGGCCTTGGGCTTTGCTGCCGCCTTGGGCTTGGCCGCCGCCTTGGGCTTGGCCGCCGCCTTAGGCTTGGCCGCTGCCTTGGCCTCAGGGGCTGCCTTTGGCTCAGCGGCCGCCTCGGGCTCAGCGGCCTTCTTAGGCTTGGCCGCGGCCTTCTTGGTGGGCGTCTTCTTCACCTGGGCGGATTGCAGTCGGAAAAACAGAGTGCCGGGGTCAAGTGGGTCGTTGGGCTATCGCAGTAGCACTGTGCACGCGCCTCTGCTGGCGCCACCAAACAGGGACTTGGACTGCAAGCTGCTTATGACCATGGCAGGCCTAGCTTACGGCTATCAAGGACGGCTGGCGCGGGGGGGGTGCATTGCAGGCGCCCCTGGGTGCCGGCCAGTACACGCAGGGAGGCCGAGCCTGCGAACGCGCGCAACAGCCAGCGCTCACACCTTGGGTGCCGCCTTCTTCTTGGGGGTGGTGGCTTTCTTCTTGGGCGCAGCCTTCTTCGGCTTGGCCTCCCCATCTGCCGTGGGCTTGGCGGCCTTGGGCTGCGGCGGGGCAGGAGGGCGTGCAAGAGCGGTTGGGTCGGCGCCCGCACGCTGATGTCAACGGGAAGACGCTTGCGGTGCCGCACTGCTTGTGCACAGTGCCACGGCAAAGTGTATGCATGGCTGAATGACCACGACAGGGCTACCCCGAGGCACCTTGCGCCGCGCCCCGTGTGCGCACCACCCCAACGGCAACAGCCTTGCGGCGCTGGCGATGCGGCTGCCGCTGCGGCCCACCTTCTTGGCCGCGGGCTTCTTGGCAGCCTTCTTGGCAGCCTCTCCCAGCTTGTAGCTGCCCTTAACCTGCGGGGAGGGGGGGCATAGGCTGCTGGTTGAAAAGTGGACCTGGCAGAGATCGCTGCTCATGCTGAGGCTCAGCGTCGCCAGCCGGAGCCCTGCCCGTGGCCCTGACCCTGCCAGGGCATGCTCTACTCATTTACGATGCCGTTGCCAGCCGCGCCATGCCGAACGAGCCACGCCGCAGGCCGCCCGGGAGCCCGGAACATCGGCCTCGCTGCTGCCCCCGACTACCCCACCTGAACGAGCTCCCCCTTCACGGCGCCCTTCTTGGCCGCTGCCAGCACCTGACGCTCCCATCCAGGCGCAAGCTTGCCATTGTAGTGGTCACCAACCCACTTCTTGATCGCTGCAAGGCTGGAGCCGGACCGCTGCGGTGGCGAGGGCAGCAGGGAGTGTTACGCACATCCCACCCGCCTGTGCACTGCTCCCCACGCACTGCAGCCGCTCATATCGGGCACTGTTACATCCCATACACATCATACAAGCATCAGAGAGGCCGGGGGTGCGCTGTGCTGCTCCCCAGGAAGCCGTTGTTGAGCACGGCCTCTCCCCTCGCACCTCCTTGAGCGCCGCTATGGCCTCCACCACGATCAGCTTGAAGGGCGGGTGCTCAGGCGCCTTCTTGGGCTTGCTGACCTTCTTGGGCGCGGCTGCTGGCTCCGCCATGGCTCGGGCTGCGTGTGACTCGATCTCCGGGGAGTTTGAACGGGGTGCCGAGCTGTGGGACTCGGAGATTGCAAAGAGGATGAGGTCAAACGTTTGTGAATGGCGTTGTGGGGTCAGGGATGCAGGAATTGCCCCCAAACGTAGGCCGACGGTCCAGGTGCCGCGTTGACCCCGTGGCCTTGCCTCGCAGCCTGCTCGTGGCCCCGGTGAAGTTGCTGTGGAAACTGACATTTGTTGATGAATCACGCGAATGACGCGAGCTCCTTGGCACGACGCCGATGGCTACCATAGACTGCGCTCCGCTCGGCGCTCGCTGGGTCGCTGCTGCAGCCATAGCGTCAAGGCGCACACGGCCAGCACGGCAATGAAAACGTCCCCAAAACACGCATGAGATGCCACTGTCATGAAATGCAACACGACATAGGTACGCGGTGCGCCGAGAAGGTGCACGAGCAGTGGGGAGCAGCTTTTTGCAGAGTTGCAGTTGTGCTGTGTTTGCTTGGGGGGCGAAGCTGCCCTGTGCTGCTCATAGCCCCGTCCTCATGACTGTATCGATTTTCCCCCCGGCTTCCAGAGACACATTGGACTGAATGCCCAATATGAATTACATGAGTCTTGAAGTGAATCAAGCCACGACAACAAGGACAGTGTTGTCAGCACTGCACTTGCGGCAACGGCTGCAAACAACACAGCCTAGCAAAAAGCAAGACATGATGGTGCTTTGCTTCCAATTGCTTGTTCAGCAGCTTGTTTGTTGAGATGGGTGGAAGGGATCAGGTGTGTTGCCCGTGTTGTGTTTTGCACCCATACATTGCTGCCATCCTGCGGGTAGACACTGATCAAGCTGGGCCCATGCAGTCGCAATTCAGGCCACCTCTCCAGCGAGCTGCCTCACATGCCTGAAGCTCTTGCATCAGGCGCAGCGTATGTAATAGCTGCACCCAATACATCGCTGTGGTGGCTGCTGCTAGTCCTATTACTGTTGGTGCTGCTCTGCTGCTGGTGCTGGTGCTCCTGCTGCTGCTGCTGCGGCTGCAGCTGCTGCCGCTGCTGCCGCTGCTGCTGCTGCCGCTGCTGCTGCTGCCGCTGCTGCTGCTGCTGCTGCTGCTGCTGCCGCTGCTGCTGCTGCTGCTGCTGCTGCTGCTGCTGCTGCTGCTGCTGCTTCAGCAAGCTGTCCGATCCATCCCCACAGATGTCATCACAATAAAAATTTGTAAGGCAGGCAAACGGCCTGTATGGTTGTACCCGCTCCAGGCAGCGTCTTGTGAGAGTACATACTGCTGGTGCGTGTTCAGCAGTCAGCGTGCGGCCCATGGCTCAGCCTTGACACGCTTGAACAGCCCAACGCCACAGCCAGCCCCTTTTGCCGCCTCCTCATCCACGCACGAGGCATCGTCCAGTGCGGCAGCATTGGCCGGTAGCGGCGGCGCAGCCATGGGGCCCCAAGCCAGTGGGTTTCCCAGCATTGGCGGCAGCCCCGCCCTGCTGCGCTTGCTTCCTGCAGAAATTGCAGCCGGCCCCTCTGCTGGCTCAGGCCTGGCAAGGACCTCCTGCAGACCTGGAGCCCTAGCACCTGCTATTGCGTCCTGCTGCTGCTGCTGCTGCTGCTGCTGCTGCTGCTGCTGCTGCTGCTGCTGTTGTACGTCGCGGAACGGCGCCTCATGGTCTTGCATGTCGCGGAACGCCTCCAACAGCAGCTCCTGAGATGCCATGGCGCCCAGGGCAAAACCACCACCGCTGCAACCCCGCGTCAGCCCCGGATGGCCGCTGTTGCCCTCCCACAGGAGCCCTGACAGGCCGCGGCTTGGTGCTGACAGCAGCCGCCCACTGCCGCTGGGCCCTGCAATGCAGAACCCCACGTCGCCCGCCAATGCCGCCGCTGCCGCAGCAGCAGTGCAGACTGCAGGCGTGGTGGCAGCCCCAAGCGCTGGTGAAGGGTGCACTCTGGGGTGCGTGAGTGCAGCGGCAAACGGGCTGCCACTTGCTCGTGGCAGGTGGCCGACGACCGCTCCGCTGCCGTTTGCTGGCGCTGCCGACAGCAGGATTGTTGGCGGCGCTCCGGTGCAGCTGCTGTCGCTGCCGCGGAGTGAAGCCACATGCTGCGGGTCCAGGGCAGCGATGCCGCCCGCCATGCCGGGCGCGAGCAGTTGATCGCCCGTCGAGGCGGCGGTGCTGCTGCTGCCCAAGCGGCTTACGCCCGGCCGAGGGTCGCGCCCCCCGCTGCTGCCGCGCATCCAAGGCGCGCCCACCGCGCCGCTGAGCCCCATCTGCTCTGGCTGGAGGGGCTGGGATGAGCCCTGCAGCTGCAGGCCGCACGCGCTGAAGCTGGCCAGGCCGCTGTCTGCGGGGTGAGCGCCGCCGTCAAGGCGCAGGACGGGGGAGCCCCCACCGCCCGCCGCTGAGCCACGCGGCGGCGGCATCGCTTCGCATGTCGCTACCGGAAGCGGGACCTGCAATAGGACGTTGCATGTTGGGCTTTGATTTGCACAAATGCGTCACAAGCTTCTAACTGGGCTGCATGTGGAGAGGTTGGGGAGCAGCACCCTGGTACGCATCCATTATCGAGTCTTGGACAAAGTTATGGCAATCTCTTGACCACCACAACAACACACTTGTCCAAGCTGCCATGCCAAGCGGCGTCTCACCCCTGCAGCTTTGAAGCCCTTGCCCAGCTTGACGCGCAATGGAGGCCGTGGCGAGCTGCTGCTGCCAGCGATCCCACCATCGCTGGGGCCGTCGCTCAGTGCTGCTGGCACGATCCCCGACTCGCCTGCGCCCCAGGCCTGCCCACTGCCGAGGAGGTGCCTCGCGTCAATTGCACCGTCGTACGCGATCAGTCCGTGCCTCTGCAGGCTGCCGCCCTCGTCGCAGCCGGCGTCCTCCTCCCCCTCCTCCTCAGCGTCACAGTCGTCTTCCAAGTCCTCGTCCCCCAGATCCTCCTCGTCGCCAAACCCCTCGCTGCAGTTGCGGTCGTCTCGCGCGCCAAGCACTGCCGCGGGGCCCCATTCGCCGCCGCCGCCGCCGTCGCTGGCAGCACTGTGGTAGCCGAGTCCGACGTCAACGTCATCGGCGCCGCCCGGCGCGCCCTTGAGGCTGCGGCGCGTGTACGCGTACCAGAAATTCTTGACGGCGGCGTTGGTGCGGCCGGGCAGCATGCGCGCAATGGTGGACCACTGGTTGCCAACGTGCTTATGCGCCTGGGGAAAGTGGAGGTGGGTGTGGCGCAACAGTGGGTGAGAATCACAGGATTCTTATCAGTAGGCTCTGGTCCTGCGTATAGACTTGCAAGGGGTCAAGCTGGCATGTGAACCCTTGCGATTGTTGCGCATTCTCCCTTCTTTGTGTAATTCCTGAAAAGTGCTCCCCATCTAGCTGCGCGCTGCGCCAGCCCTGTAAGCCATGACCCACCTCAACAACCACCGCCACTTCCCAGTCTGAGAACGGCTCTTGTGTTGTGTTCTTCACACCGGGCTGGAGGTAGGTGCGCCACCTACATTGTAAGAGGGCAGTTGCAAACACGGCTTGTCTTTTTGTTTTTGGGCTGCCAGCTGCTGCGCAAAGAGCGCCCATCGCGGCACTGTCCAGGATGTGTCTACGGGCTCACGGCCCCCCACAGCGAGGTGGCCGTCCAAGCGCACTTGTCCCTGGTCACTCCCATCTGCCCGCACCTGTGGCTGCAGGCCTTGCTGGTGCGGCCCGAGAGCCCCTTGGATATCTGAGACCAGCGCTGGGTGCCATACTTCTCCACTGATGCCATGAGGTAAACGTCCTCCTGGACACATTGAGCGTCATTTAAAGTGGTGGTGATGGCGGTGGTGGTGGTGGTGGTGTACATGCGGGTGGCGCCGCGTTCATGGGTGCTTGCGCCTTGGGTGGCTTTCGCGCACGTGCCATGCGCGCGCTTCTCACAGCAGAAACAGCGTTGCGGCGAGGTTGGGCGCTGCGACTGGATGCAAGAGACCTCCAGTATCGACAAAAACTCATTCACCTGTTCCGACCACGGCTGTCTCTGCTGGGATACGCCCGCGGGCCCATCAAAGGCGCGCTGAGCCATCGTGCTTGTCCGAGAGCCCCTCGCTCCCTCCGCAAGACGTAATCAATGAGTTTATGTTATGTCTTATATTTTGATGGTGCCAATTGATGCTTCTGAGTCTGCGCTGTGCGGATCTAAACCCGAAGCTGATGGACGGGCTGAGCTGAGAGCGTTTCCAGCCGTAACCGCCCAGCTGCGGGTGGAGGTGTTGAGAGAAACTTGCAGATTACCGTTGACTCGTATACAACGCTGTCTACAAAGGTACCTGTGTGGCCGCCGGCGACTTCTGTGCTGGCCAACAGCAGCATCACAGCTCATGAGCTGATGCATGCATGGTCGGTTGCTGCGCTGGTTCAGGCAGGCTCACCAGGGCTGGTTCAGCGACCCCTGCTGAGCCAAGGTACCCATGCGCAAGCTTCAACAGTACCATACCTTTCATCAGAGTGTTGCACCATCGGGTGTTGGAAGCGCAGCGCACAAGCTGTCACTGAGTTTTTCCACCCTGCTTATCTTCAATCGCCTTTATCGTCCCCCCCTTCTCGCCGCTTTCTTGCTACAGCAAACGGTAGTTTTGGTCCTTACTCAAACTGGTAGGATGGTACTGCAGCCAGGCAACCGCGCGTCAGCCCGCGCGAACCACCCTGTATCAATGGCACTGCGCGAGTCACATCAGGCCCATGGGATTGCCGCGCAGCTGCACAAACGCCTTGTGCACATCAGCACGCCACGCCAGGATGGGGTCAAGAATGAGGATGGGGGCAAACTTGTCCAGGACCAGCGGCAGCCACCTGCTTCCAAACATAGTCATACGGAGGAGCATGGCTCTGAGGTGCTACGCATCATCGATTGGCCACACCGATGGGTGCGGTGTGTGAGAGAGCCAGCGCATCGTGTCATCATGCGGCCAAGCGGCCAGAGCAGCAGCCAGCCAGCAGCACCAGCAGCAGCAAGCAGTGACGCGCGCAGGGACGCCCACCCGCTGGTCAAGCTGTTAGTCCAGAACGCCGGCGGCCGCGGATGCAGTGCCATGTCGCAGAAGCCGCGCGCGAATCCCGCCGTCGTCGCCGCACCCGCGCCCTCGTTTTCAAACAGGTCTCCTGCGATGTGACGGGCGCAGGGGCCCCAGGCACCCTTGGGATCCAGCTGGTTCAGGCCGCCGTGGGCTCCGCTGGCCGATATGTTGGACCGCACCCAGCCTGGGGCGCAGTAGATGGCACGGACGCCGCTGCCGTACAGCTCGCGCCGCAGCGCGTCGGTGAGGCCTCGGACGGCGCGCTTCGAGCCGCTGTAGACCCCTGGATGGAGTGCACAGCATCACAAGTGCACAGCACCACAAGTGCAGCGCAGACGGTACTGGCTCGAATTAGGATCACATGCCTTCCAAATTGTGTTCTGAAGCACACTGCACGCAATTGGCGCTGGGTTTTCAGCCGACGCAGCAGCTGGAACGGCGACAGGGGGCATTTCGGGTGTCGAGCCCCACCTGTAAAGGGGAGAGTGATCAAGCCCAGCGCGCTGCCGATGTTGATGACAGTGCCGCTGCGCCGCTGGATCATGTGAGGGACCACAGCCTGCGCGGTGGCCGGCTCGGCGAGGCCCGGCACGCGCCCTTGGCTGTGCACGTCAAGCCAAGCTGTAGATTGACAGCGACGCAGGGCCCCACGTACGCCCCAATTCGAAAGCAGGTGGAAATTGTGTTTCCGTCGGAGTAGCCCTGGCCGGACCAGCCCCCTCTACCAACTGCATTCCTGCTGCTACCATGCATGCAACACAGCTGCGTCGGCCGGATGCGCGCCCCACCTGGCACATCGCCATCGTCCCAAACACGTTGACATCAAAGACCCGTTTTGCCTCAGCGATATTGTAATCGCAGACCGGCCCTCGCCCGCCCAGGCCCGCGTTGTTGACTAAAACGTCGATGCGCCCCGCCGCCTGCAGCACCTGCTCGGTCGCCGCAAAGACCGATTTGGAATCCGTCACATCCAGCTGCAGTAGTTCGCAGCCGAGCTCAGCCAGGCCCTCCATTGCGGCAACCCGGCGTGCGGATGCAAAGACGCGGCAGCCGCGCCTTGCGAATTCTGCAGCAAGCGCATGGCCGATGCCGCCTGCAAAGCCACGCGTGGGGAGCGGGGCGTGCCGACTCGTCCGTGCAGGTCGTTTCAGTTGAGTCGCCGCCTGGACACGTCAGGGGCCAGATTGCGGGCGCAGCATGCGGCATGCGGCAGTGCAGCTTGTCGGGGTGTCAAGGGCGGTTGGTAGCGCTGTGCCAGTCCCTGAGCCAAAAATTTGCCATGGGGGCGCAACCAACCAAGGCGCACCAGTGGTGCAGCCGGTGACCAGGACAACCTTGCGGACGTCCATTGGCCCTGCTGTTTCATGTGGCCTCGTGCAATACGTGAGTTTCTCAAGCTCGCAGAAAATAACTGATGAAGTCAGTTGTGTGCACGCGGACAACAAGAGGCTTGGTGGCGAGGCGGCACTCGATGGAGTGGCAATTGCCAAGGTGGTGAGGTCATCGCTGCACTGCTGCACCATGCGCACACCATGCATGCACATGCATTGCGACATAATTCAAAGCGGATATTTCTGCATCTGCAGACCGCACACAGTGGGACTGATACAAGGGTGGGGCTGGCGCTGCGGCAAGAAAAACAGGGTGACAACTGCTCACTCAAAACGCATAGCGCGACAGGCCAAGTGCCCCACCCCATAACCGCCAAATACATGCATGGCCAGGACCATAAAACACTAATAAGCACAAATTAGCTGCGCGCTAAGTGTATGCTTTGAGCCAGTGCGTTCTAGATCTGCACATAAGAATCAGCGACAAGCAAAGTCATGGTTCTATTGGTCGACTTCAGCGTGTTCGCGCCCACAGGTACCGCGCGGCTGGAGGCCCTTCAGATCTCAGCATGGCTTGCATGCATTCGTTTTTCTTGCCAGCGTCACTGCTGCTGCCTCCATCCGGCCAGCGCTTTCCCTGCATGCCGCCCTTGCGATGTTGAGCCTGCTTCTATTCATTTCATTACATGGTCCCTTATGTGCCGCTATTGATTGGTTGCCTTGACGCGTCAAGACCGTGCACCCCTGCACGACTCTGACAAGCCGCTCTGTGGCGGCGGCCGCTCTGCCTGCGCCGCACCCACAGATGACCTCAGAGTTGACTGGCAGTGGCACCGTGAAAACAGCCTGGAAGTGTGGCAGGTATGTGCCCACGCTGCTGCAGCCGCTTTCGTCTGCTGGCGGCGCAGTGCGGTGCCCAGCTGATCTCCCCGCCGCCAATGCTGTTGCTGCAGAGGTATGGGGCGACGCCCGAAAAGATCGCCTTCTGCGACCGCATCTACCGCGCCAGCGGCATCGCCGACCGCGCCTGCCTGCCGCCATGGCTGCAGCCGGTGCCCGGCAGCCGGCCCATGACCGACCTGGTCCACTCCAACCGGGAGGCGCGCATGGTGCAGGGCCAGTGCGTTGCGGAGCTGCTGCGCAAGACAGGTGGGCTCGTGCGCCCGTACAACTGCGTGGCAAATAGTACATAAAAAAAACCTAGTACGCTGGCTTGTGGCTGCGGATTGCCGACACGCGAGTGCGTCGTAATGAGGTTTGCCAGCCAGCAGTACCTGCCTCGACACGTCGGAAGCTGCGGACTTGCTTCCAGTGCAATCCTCGGCTTGAGTGATTGTTGCAACAACACCGTCCTCACGAACACCACCTTGCTGCGTCCAGCCCTCTCCCCCAGAGCGCCAATGCCCCAACTCACCCATGCAGGCCTGGAACCCCGCCAAATCGACATCCTCGTCACGAACTGCAGCATCTACTGCCCCACGCCCTCCATGGCCGCCATGCTGGTCAACACCTTTGGCATGCGGGATGACATCCAGGCATACCACTTGGTGGGCCGCTTACGTGGGCATCGCCTCCCCAGCCCCGCTGCCCCCTGCATGGATGCCGAAAGTGCCGTCGAATTTGGCCCCACAGCTGCTGTCCTTGGCCAGATACGTGCGGATCCACGGGTGTCCTAATGACGTCAGCCTTGTGCCTGCAGGGCGGCATGGGGTGCTCCATGGGAGTCGTGGGGATCAACCTGGTCAGGGACCTGCTCGCGGTGAGGGACCGCACGCGCACCATCATAGAAAAGGCCAGCAGACAGCCGTGATGCCGCGTCAAGAAATCGCTTGCTCTCGTGCACGCCGAGGCCGCATGAAGTCATGGCGTGCGTTCTCGTCGCATCCGGGCTGCGGAGCGACGCCTGCAGCTACGTGGGGTAGACGCCCGCCATCCAACCAGACCGGACCAGGCCGGCCCCATGTCCACCCTGGTTGCGCCCTCGTAGGCCCACCCCAACAAGATCGCGCTGTTTGTTTCCAACGAGGTCGTCACGGCGGGCTTTTACCTGGGGGACCGGAAGGAGGCGCTCATCACCAACAGCCTCTTCCGCATGGGCGGGTCGGCCGCCATCCTCACCAACAAGTGAGTCGGTCCTACGGGCGCCAAGGCCTGCACGCCCCAACGCCTGGATTGCCAGCAGCACCCCTGGCCTGCTTTCAGGTCCTGTCGCGGAACCGGAAATGAATGAAGCCGCAGCCCGTGCGGGCATGTTGCCGGGGTCGGTTTGCGCAGCTGATTGTGCAGGACGATTAGCTATGCTCCCTGTGCGCTCGACCCTGCCATGCCCAAGGCCCAGCTGGCGGCTGCGCGCCAAGTACCGGCTGGAGCACGCCAACCGCGTCCACACGGGCCGCTACCCGCGCTCTTTTGGGTGCGAGCTGGGTGTGGGTCTGCGCCCTCGCTCTTGGACAGGGGCTCTACCGCTTGTTGCTGCGGGTGCGCCTTGCGCATACCGCGGCATCGCGCAACAACGACAGCAGGCACCTGCATGCAGGCTGCGTGGCTCCCCAAGTGTGAACGTGCCCGCGGTTGCCATCGTCGCACGCACCGAGGCCGTATCCGCCCCGCGTGCCATCGAACCCAGCGCCCTCAACTGGGAGCCTGACGAGCAGGGCGTCAACGGCATGGTGATCACCAAGGTGCGCGCGTCAGGTCGAGAGCCCCTCAAGTAGGTGGCTCCCAGGCAGCCCTGCTGGCAGCTAATGTCCGGCGGCATGAGAAAGCCTCGGCCGAGGGTGCAAGCGCGCAAGACAGGGTGCGGGTGCCGCCACAGCAGTGACGGGCATGCCAGCGCCGCCCCTAATGTCGCGCTGACCGACCCTCCGCCAGGACCTGCCCAGCGAGGCGGCGCTGGCGCTGCACAAGGCCATCAGTCGGGTGGCGCCGCGCATAATGCCGTGGCGGCAATACGCGGAGGCCGCGCTGCACTACGGCAGGGGCCTGCTGGCGGCCGCCATGTGAGCGCGGGCTGGCGGGCTGGGCAGGGATTCTTTCTCATACCGGTGTACCAGTGAGATGCGTTGCTGACGAGGATAGCGTTACGGCTGCCGCAGGCTCCCAACAGCCACACGGTGGACGGTGCACGGTAGCAAAGGGCACTCTGCGGGGCTGCTTTCTGGGGCGACCTTTCACCCTGCCCTTAGCAATGCGCAACACTGCAGGGGCGGGCCGCGCCCGCCTCAGTGGCAGCCGGACTTCACGCGGTGTGCCGACAAGTTCCTCATCCACGCGGGTGGGTCTTGGGAAGCTGCCTTCACGTCTTTTTTGCACCTTCTGGCCAGCTTCGCCATCCAGGCGCTGCGACCGCCCCATCCCCAAACGCCGTCGCACGCACAGTTGCTGCCGCCCGGCCCCTCCCAATCCCCACGGCCGCGGCGGCAATCCCCGCACGCGCGCGGCGCCGCAGGCGGCTACGCGATCCTGCAGGCCGTGAAGAAGGGGCTCAGGCTGCCGGCGGACAAGATGATGCCGTCTTTTGTAAGCCTGAGGGACTACGGCAACACCAGCAGCTCGTCCACCTGGTGGGGCTCGAGTCACAACCCCCGAGTGTGTGTGTGGGCTCGTGTGTGTGTGTGTGCGTGTGTGTGTGCTCGTGTGTGTGTGTGTGTGTGTTGTGGCTGGGGCTGCTGCTGCTGGTGCGGGGCCAGACGTGGAAGGCGCGGCGGGGGCTTGACGGTCCGGCCTGAGGCCGGCTGCCAGTGCCGGCTGCGGCGTTGCAAGGGCCCAGGGAAGGTTGGCGCGCGGCTGTTTGGTCAAGCGTGGTGCTGCTCGCGGCGCCGCGACCGCGCGGCGACGGCCGCCCAGCAAGCAGCCCCCCTCCCCCTGTCCGCGTGCGGCACACGGCGTCGCACGCCCGGGAAGATATGATCGCTGGCACCCGCTGCCCCTCAGGTACACCTGGGCCTACATCGAGTCTTGCGAGGGCATGAAGGCCGGGGACCGAGTCATGCAGGTGCCCCGGGGGCCTGATGTGTGTGTGTGTGTGTGTGTGTGTGTGTGTGTGTGTGTGTGTGTGCGTGTGTGTGTGTGTGTGTGTGGGGAGGGGGGGTGGAGGGCAGGCGCTCCGCAGTGGACGGCACGCTCGCAAGCCGCTGCCGCACATGCAATGCGTCGGCGCGCGCAATCGTGGTCCCGCTCCCCGCGTGCCCAGCGCCCATGCGCCCTGCTTCCGTCCCCCACGCGCCTGTTGCGGCGGCCACAGGTCGGCGTCGGCGGCGGGATGAAGGCGGGCGTCGCGGTCTGGCGGGCGCTGCGCTCCTTCGGCGACGCCCACCCGGCCTGGGACCACCTTGGGGGCCGCCCCCAGGCCGAGAGCGACCTGCCGCGGCCCATCACGGTCGCGTACAAGTCTGTGTACGACAAAGCTGCCGCCGAGAAGGCGCGCGCGGCGCTGGAGGGGCGGGCGGCGGGGGGCGCGGGGGTTGAGGCGCCACGGAACGAGGGCGGGGGCGGGGCCGATGGCAGCGGCGGCGGCGGCGAGAGGGGGCGCGTCAGCTTTGATCCGGCGACGGAGCCAAGAACCCTGGACGTGCGCAGCTGGGAGACGATTGGGCAGTATGACTTGAAAGAGTGGTATATGGCGCCCCCTGGCCAGCCGCTGGCCAGTGAGGCGGCAGTGGGTGTCGGCAACGACATTGCAAGGGCGACCAGCAGCGGGGACGGCATGGCGGCGCCGGGGGCGGCGGGAGGGGTGGCAGCTGGGCCGGCGGTCAAGCCGCAGGGGATGGGGGCCGTGGTGAGAGTGGACGTGCTCGCCGTCGCTGAATAGACAGACAGCACATGGTGTGGGATTCACAAGCCTATCTCGGCTGCATTGCATTTGAGCGGTGGTGCTGGGGGCGAGGTCCCGCTGCTTTTTCTGCGACTGCTTTCTTGGCACTTTCGAACGCCGCGTCCATTCAGGGGCTTTCTGCAAGGTTGTCGCTCGTTCATATGCTGCTGAACCACCTTGCCATGAGAATGACAACCCCCTCACCTTCCCTATCAGGGATGCTTCCTGCAGGCCCATGCACTTGGGTGTGTGTTTGCGGCGGTTTATTGGCAACCAATGAATTAGTCAATAACAGCAGCAATTTCGTTTCCCTTTTCACCGGCCTAGCAATAGGCCCGGCAAACATCAACAGCGACGCAAGCATGCTAGGTGCAACATCTTCAACGCACCGCTTTTGGATCCTCTTGTCACACCCAATGTCTTACCCATCAATCAACAGACCCATGCATCACATGGATTAATGAGTGTTTACATGCCGCTTCAGGCCCCCTTTGATACTTTTGCGCAATCGTAGAATTTGGCATTGCACCTTGCTGGTCGGGCACAATCTTGGCATGCAAGACGCACGAGAGGGTGCGGGCTTGTAAGCTGCTCAACAGGAGAGAGGCAATATCACAGGCAAATCAACTTCTCAAAATCAACAGTAGCACGGACTGATGGGGCTTGGGGGGCTGCTGACGGTGTCTTGGCTCCCTGTTCGACCACTAGCACTTCAGTGCTGTGCGTGCTGCAGCGCCTGTTCGGCTCCGGCAGAGAAACAGCTTCAGGCCAATGATCTCGACAGCAATTTCCACATTCATGCCGTCCTGTAGCCCAGCTGATCCCGAAAACTGTGCGTGTAAGACAGCGGGGCAGACTTTGCGGGACCCAACATCGATGATCTGAGGCCTTTTCGGATGCTCAGGCGAATGACGCGGAATCACAGCCTAGAGCAGGCTCCAGATACCCCGGCGCCCCCGCGGTCCTGGCACTCGGCAAGTGTCTACCCTCTCTGCACCTGCTACTCTTTGAGCAGTCCCAACGCAGGGCGATAGGCAACTGACGCGTCGTTTGCACCCTCGCAGAAGGCAACTCATGGTGGCGCAGCGAGCGCAACTGCGCCGCGCAATGCGACTGGCGGCGCCGCTGCTCGTGAGGGCATCAGCGGGAGGAGGCCGCGTTTCTCCGTCGCGTCTTACAACATCTTGGCAGGTGCGCATGCAGCATCAGTCACACCATCACCCCCTCTGAGGATTTGGGGGTCGCCAACGGCAGCTGCACCGACCGTGCCCTCGACTGGAGTCGCGACCCCCAACACCCCCAACCGCCCCCCTACCATCGCGCGCCACACGCGCCCCATGCAGACAAGTACGCTACGCAGTACCGCCACTTTTTGTATGCAGAGGTGCCCCACGCCCACCTGGCGTGGCACCACCGCTGCCGCGCCATCGTGCGGGAGATGGAGGAGCTCAGGCCGGACGTGATCTGCATGCAGGAGGTGCGGTGCACGCGCTGATGTGGCGATGACGTCACTCGCAAGTGGCCATGCGGAACGCGTCGCCCGCGCCAGCCCCGCGCCCAGCATGCAGCTCTCGCGGCTGGCGGCGCGACACACTGGGATCGCTCCCCTGCGTTGCACGGCATGCGTCGCCTGGCGCGCCCGCCAGCTTGCGGCCCCAGGGAGCTACCCCCCTTGGTGATGAAGGCACTGCGCCGTCCGATGGACCCAGCACCCAGCGCCGCCCTATGCGCCCCCATATACAAACTGCATGCTCCTCAGGTCGACCAATACCATGACCTGAAGCGCGAGCTGGAGCCGCTGGGGTGGGCGCCGCCGCGGCAGCGGCTGGGTGGCAGCCGTAGCCGTGGCTGCGGGGCAGGGCAGGGTAATCGCCGGCAGCAGCAGGGGCCCGGGCAATGGCCACGGACCGCGGGACGCCTTCAGCACCGCCGCCGCCTGTGCATGTGACTGCGGCTGCCGCCGCTGCTGACCGCGCCGCGCGCGCTTCCTCGTCAACCGGCGCCCCTCCCCCTCGCCAAAACAGGTACGACTCGGCATTCGTGCAGCGCAGCGGCGGCCGCCGCGACGGCTGCGCCACGTTCTGGCGCGCCGCGCGGCTGCACGCCACGCACGTGCGAAGGCTGCGTTTCCACGAGTACGACCTTTCAGACAATGTGGCCCTGCTGGTGGCGCTGCAGCCGCTGCATCTGGATCGTGGGGGCGACGGGCCGGGCAGCGGCGGCTGGGAGGCACCGCGGGCAGAAGTGGCTGACGCGGGGGCGGCGGCCGCGGCGACGCGCGGCCCGGCGGACGGGGCGCGGGCAGCGACCTGGCAGCAGCAGCGCGGGCCGCGGCCGGACGGGACCGCGGGCGCACCGGCGATCACGCACACGCAACTAAACGGTGGCGGCGCCGTTGCTGGCGGTGGCAGAGAGGGCGCGGCGGACGCAGATCGTGCCGGTTTCGAGGCGCCCCGCGCCGTGGACGGCAGCGATGACGTCGGCCTGCTCATAGCCAACACCCATGTGAGTTTGGTGGCAGCACGTGGATTGGGCGGTTTAGGCTCCTTGGGCATGAGGGCCATGCGTGCAGACCCCTCCTGGCGGCTGACATTGCTTGGGCAGGGCCCACCCGGCGCTGCTCGCGCCGGGTCGCATGCTCACAACATCGGCGGCGGCATGCCGCGTGCCCTGACTTTTTCTGATCGCTTTGCCCCCCCTTCCGCCAGATCATGTTTTCGCCTGAGCGTGGGGAGATCAAGCTGGGGCAGGTGCGCACCCTGGTGCAGGCAGCAGCAGACATGGCGAAGACGCTTTCGTCAGAGCAGCAGCAGCAGCAGGAGCAGCAGGAGGAGCGGCAGCAGCGCCGAGCCTCATTCGAGGCCCGGGCGCTCACCAACAGCAGCGGCGGCGCCAACGGCCCTGCGGCCGCCGTGCGGCGGCAGGCGGCGCAGGGGCGGCCGCGGCGGCACGGGCTGATACTCTGCGGCGACTTCAACGCACTGCCGGGGTCCCCTGTGTACGATTTTGTGATAAGAGGGCAGCTGGACCTGTCGCGCATCAGCCGCCGCAACGTCACTGGGTGCCTCAAGGGCTCCAAGGGCTACAAAACCGCCCAGCAGCAGCTGCGGCGGCGGGGCTCGGGGGCGGTGCTGGGCGCCGATGGGCAGCAGCAGCGGCAGGAACAGCAGCAGGAGCAGCAGGAGCAACACGACGGGGAGCAGGAGCAGCAGCAGCGGCAAGGCGGCGGGAAGGAGCAGGCGCGGGACGCGGTCGCCGTGGCGGCCTCGGCGGCGGGGGCGGCCGCACTCGCGGCCAACGGCAGCGGCGACGCGCCGGCCGCGACCTGGGCTGTCGCCGCCGCGGCCGCCGCGCCCCCGCGGGCCCGCGAGCCCTCAAAAACGTCGCAGCTCCTCGGCCGCGCCGCCAGCGCCGTGGCCGGAGCCGCGGGCGCACTATTGGAGCGCATGGGCAGCGCGGGCGGCGGCGGCTCAGTCGGCGGCTTCTCGCTGGCTTCCTCCGAGTGGCTGGACGGCATCGCTTTCGGCGCCGCCACCGGCGCGCAGGTGCACCGCTGGAGCGAGAAGGAGCTGCGGCGCGCGGCAGGCCCAGCGATTGTGCAGGTGGCTAGGCAGCGGCGGTCAATGGAGAAAGAGCGGGATTACCAGCAGCTCGGCGGCGGCGGCGGTCCGCCGCGCGGCCGGGCCGACCCCTGGGCGGGCGCCGGCGGCGCGCCCGCGACGGCCGGCGAAGCGGGGGCGCTGGGGGCGGCGGCGACGGCGGCGGCAGCAGCTGTGGCCGCTGTTGCGGCCGTCGGAGCGGACGGCGAGGCGCAGGCAGAGGCGTCTGGGGACTCGTTCGCGAGGCAGCAGCTGCAGCCGCTGACGATGCGGCACCCCCTGAAGCTGCGGAGCAGCTACCTGGACGTGCTGGGTGGGTGCTGTGCGCTACGCACGCGTTGTGGGCCCGCCCTCACAGCGGTCGGGCGGCCGTCAGGCTGCGCATGCAGCGGTGGGGACCTTGCCTGTGCGGTTGGAAGTGCATGCGGGACGCACCGCGTCGACTGCTCCTGCTGCCCCCCCTTGACCCCCCTATCTCGGTGGCCGTCGACTGCGCCAGGCCGTGAGCCCGAGTTCACTTCTAGCCACCTGAAATTTCACGACACCTGTGAGTGGATGTGATGGCACGCCATGTGGGGGACCGCGCTGGAGCGTCGCTGCCCTTGTGTTGCTGTTGAGAGGGAATGCGCGGCCGCTCCCTGCGCGTCCGGGCAGAGGGAACGATTGGCCCAGCACCACACGCGCCGTGCCACCGCTCGTGTGTGCAATGGCCTGTGCGCCAGCGCGCCTAGATTGCGTCGTCATCCTGTGGCGCCTCATGGCGCTTTTGACGTCTTTGGCTTGGTCTTGAAAGACTGAGGGCAAAGCCAGCAGATTCGACTTAGGGTTGGCGCACCCACATGCCCTGCTCTCGGCCTCACCGCACCCCCTTTTGCCTGTCCAACCCTAGGTGACTTCATTTGGTACTCGGAGCACCTGCTGGGTGGCCCCCAACAGCAGCAGCAGCAGCAGCAGCAGCAGCAGCAGGCTGCCGCCGCTGCGTCCTCGAGCGACAGCGACTGCGAGGGTGGCCCCGGCGCGGGCCCCTGCCTGCGCCCCGTGGCCGTGCTGCTGCCGCCCGACGGCCGTCTGCTGCCGCGCGGCCTGCCCTCGCAGCATTTTGGGAGCGACCACCTGTGCATCATGAGCGTTTTCGAGCTGGCGCAGGGCGGCGCCGCGGAGGGCCGCGACGGGGACACGGGGGGCGGCTGCTAGAGCGCCACGTCGCGCACATCCTTGCAGGGTGGCTGAGGGAAACCGGGTTGAGCCATCCCATCTGCGCAGGTTTTTGAGCAGGTCAATGTCCCATTTGTGGTTGTTCAGCATCCTCGGCGCTGTTTGTTCCCTGGGCTGCCGGCAAATGTTATGCAAATGTCTCAGTTGCTTGCTGTGCTGGCGCACGGTTGACTTGTAAGGTGGTTCGTCCCTGCCTGTGTGTTTTTCCCACCCGCTGATCATCCGCTGCCATCCTGGCGGCTGCACGGCGCTGGCCCCTTCTCCATTGCTGCAACGCAACCCTGCACATGCCCAACATCTCTTCACGGCGTCAGGGCGCATTGGTGTGCCCCTGCTGTCGTCCCTGCATCGAGCCTTGCCTTCAGTAACAGGATTATATGGTTTCAAATCACTCGCACATGTGTCGTAAGCCGTACGTAAGCCGTACGAATTCATTTGCACTCTGCTGCACGGAACCGCAAACGGCAAGCTCAGGCAGCAGGCGCTCAGTGGCTCAACTCGCAGCGGCAGCCGAGCGGGCACCGCCTGGCCGCAGGCAGCTGCGCGTCCAGAGGCTTCCCAGGGGTCCTCCCGCACCTTCATGATGGTAAACATGACCTCGCCGCTGCCACCAGTCAGCGCGGCGATACATGCGACAGCACAAACAAGGCTTCAAAAGCGCAGGCGCACGAGCGCGCGGAGCTCAGCCGCCCCTTGACCCGCCCTTGCCGGCCCCCTCTACAAGCTTCCCCGCCGCCGCAACCGCGCCGGCCGGGTCCCGCTTGAACCGCATGAGGCAGCCCTGCAGCGCCGCCATGCTCACAGACGGCGCGGGGCCGAGCGCCTCGCCGAACGCGCGCGCCATGCTGCGCAGCTGCGCCGGCTGCAGGCCCAAGCCCCGCGCGGCCGGCGCCGCGGCCCCGGGCGACGGGTGGTCGAGGGGCTCGAGCGTTGGGGGCGTTGTGAAGTCGGCAGCCACTGCCTGTGCAGCGGGTGCCGAGGCGGTCTCGACAGGCGAGTCGGCGGGGGTCCCTGGGGGTGATGGGGGGGCTGCCTTGCCCAGGGGTGCTGCGGAGGCTGCCGCAAGCGTGGCAGTGATGGGCGTGGCGGCGGCCTTGGGGGCGGCTGCTTGCGGCATGTCGGCGTAGAATGAGAAGAAGAGCTGGGGAGAAAGGCAAAAACAAGGGGTTGGAGGCGGAGGTGACAATGGATGACGACTGTGAGAGGGGCTGGCGGGATGCAACAGGGGTGGGGTTGCGTGGTGGATGGGCAGCACGCTGGCGCGGCGCAAGAGTGGGCCTTGTGAGCGCGGTGCGGCAATCGACGGCCAGCAACCCATCTTTCCCAGCCGAAGCGGCAGCAGCGGGCACCACTCGCACGCCCACCTCTTCGATCTGCTCGCGGCTCGCGTGGTCAAACTTGCAGCGCACGTCAACCCTAGTCAATTCCACAGGGGAAGGTGTGTTGGATGCACGGTCGCCCAGTCGCCACAGCTGCGAGGTTGCTATGGACTATGTTGCGATGCAAACACGTTTGTCAAGCAAGGTCAGCAGCGGTCAAAGTTGTTGACCAGATCGTGCGCGGCCCGCGCACCTGCCGGGGCGAATCAGCGCCTCGTTGAGACGCTCAATGTGATTAGTCGTCATGAACACCAACCGGCCCTGCGCAAAACGAACCCAATGTGCACGCGCAGCGCAGGGCCTCACGCGCCCAGCTGGAAACGAATCGCGGCGCTCGCGTGGCGTGCCCGCGCCCCTTTGACGCAATGCCACTTTAATTGTACTACACGCACACGGCGATGGGCCGCAACGGGGCAAGAGCATGCCACCTGGAGCCGGGTCCCACTATTTTCACAACCCTGGGGCAGGCGGGCGGCGCACCTCCTGCGCCGCCACCCCGTCAATCGCGTTGAGCAGCCCACTGAACGTCAGCCGTCCGCCGCCGCCGTCTGCGGCCGCGCGGGCCTGCGTGAAGGCGGCATCGACGTCCTCCAACAGCAGCAGGGCGCGGGCGCCTGCACAGGAGGGGGGGCGCGGGGGCGGAGTGGGGACGCCAATGGGTCGTCAGTGGTGTTTAAAGGTTTGTTTTGGCACCTAGTCAGTCCTTCCTGAAAATCAAAGTTTGTCAACAACCAACGCTGCGGCTCCAGCTGTAGATACTCTCCTACTGCTCCCTTCTGCCTAGTTGTCGCCACACGCAAGGCGCCGTCTGCCAAATTCTCCTTTCTTCTGCTGCGTTTGACTCCCTCCCTGCACACAAAGGCCTGGCACACCCTTTTCACGTCCGCACCGGCCTGGTTGAGGAGCCCCCTCAGTATCTCATCCGACATGGCGGGGCTGGACAGGGTGATGGCGTATATGTCCAGCTGCAGGGCACCCGCAAGGCCCATCACCTGCCCACACGTTCAGGAGGCAGTTTGGGTGAAAAACAAAATGGTTGGGTGGGCGATGATGAGAGCCCAGCATTGTGGGGGGCATTGGGGCATTCAGAGCTGTACTCTGAAACATCAGTTGCTGGGGTCATACCATGGACACTTGCACCCACGGCGCTGTGCGGAAATGTGGAACCTGTGGCAAACCTCTGCTGCAGCAACGGCTTACGACGGTCCTGTTCAAAGCCCTCCCTCTGCTGGCTCCTCAGCCGCTCCCGTCTTTTCGCACCAAGCTGGTCTTGCCCGAGCCAGGCGGCCCATACAGCAGGTAGCCGCGCCGCCATGGGATGCCGTGCTGCGCGGCATCACAGACAAGAGGGCGGAACCCACCCATTCATGAGTGTCGGAGGAAGCGAGGGCGGCGCGCCGGCAGCGCACGGTCTCGAGGCAGGGGGGCGCGGGCTGCAGGGAGGGCCGCCGGTGGCGGTGGTCTAAACGCTGTCGCACGCAGGGCCCAGGCATATGCGTGGCCTGCCCGCTCGATCCAGAAAGGATGCATTTGAAGCACCACAGCAGCTTGCTGCTTCAGTCCCCCTCACGTGTGAGTACCACTCCTCCGATTCAAGGAACTCTTGACAGTCATCCAAGATGGCTTCTGCCTGGCGGGTGCGGCAGGCATCAGACAGGGAGACAGGCCAGGCAGAGGGCGTCGAGTGACTGCAGCAGTGGCACGTGCAGCACAGGTGTTGTTTGGAGCGGATAGCCAGAGCCGCAGCAGCGATCGCAACCGCCGGCGCCGCAGGCGCCGGCGCCGCCGTTAAGCATGGCTGAGGGTCGGGGGGATTGCATGTACAGCGTTATGATGCCAATGGAGGGAAGCAGGGCCGCACCTGGCCCTGCGGCAGTACGACTGATGAGAGCGGCCTCACTGGGCGGCTGCCGACCTGCTGCCAGTAGCCGTCCTGGGGTTGAGGGGGGGGGCAGGGGTTTGCCGCCGGCAGTAAAGCCAGCGCCAGACAGGAATGCGGCGGCCTTGACCTTGTGTTGATGTGCTGTGCTCGTGTGTGCACGGCGGGGGCACCAAGGCTTTCATCGGCACGAAGCACATTCACCTACCCTCAGGGAGACTTGCACATGAGCACCGCGCGCATTTACCTCGTCGTTCTATGTCATGCAGCAGAGACGAGCACGCACGCACCTGGTCCACGCTCCAGACGCCCGTCCGCTGCCGCTGGCTGCTGCGGTACGAGTCGGCCGCATCGAGCAGCAGCTGCTCGAGGGGCAGCCGCGACGTGCCGATGGTGGCCAGATGGAGCGTCTCCATCAGCAGCCTGGGGGGTTGTCATGTGTGGGGTCGTGGGCGCGAGAATGATGTCAACATACAAATGGATGTTGCTGTGTTGCAGAACGATGATATCCTGACAAGACTCAGGAGCGGTTGAAATCGCGGCTTGAGCCTCACCGCTGACATGGCACGAGCTTCGCGCACACAACAATGGACTTCCGGAGCTCCGCACCCCGGGCTGCTGCGCATGGCGCAGCTCCAAGCCCCCTCGCACCCGCCCAGCCCGCGACGAAGACGCGCCTGGCGTTGGCAGCGAGCTGGGGGTTGCCGGTCGCGCGGCGTCGCGACACCCCAATCCAGCGGCCTTTGTAGCGCAGCATGTGCCAGCCGGGCGCAGGGAGGAAGGTCACCTGCTCTTCATTGGGAGCAGTCAATGATTGGTCATGGAAACAAGATTCACACGCTGAAAAACAACTATAAAAGCTGGCGCGCCACACTCCCCAAACGATGCAGGTAGCGGCGGCGTAAGCCTCGAATTGATCATCAGTGCCCCCCCGCGCCTGCTAGCCAGGACGCAGGCACTCACGCTCGGCGGCGCGTCCGCGGCGGCGCCGGCCTGCTGCAGCGCGGCCGGCACGCTGGTGCCGAACGTGCTCCCCAGGGATGTGTGCACCGAGACGCAGCGGCTGTCGCGGAACGACGGCTGCTGCGACAGCCAGTACATAACCCTGCGGTTCAGGGGCCGCGACATGCAGCGGTTTTCGGCGCGCTTCAGCGGCGCGCGCCTCAGAATGGGGTATCGGCGGAGAGGACTACACAGGCAAGGGGGTGAAAGTTAAGCCCAGGAGGATGCCATGCCCTGGGGCTGCCTGCTGTCGACGAGCTCGTGCGTTGGGGAGGTGACATCAGCATGACATCAGCGTGCCATCAGCCGCACGGCCCTACCATCGGTAAGCGTCGTCTCGGCTGTCAATTTCGGCGGAGACCACCACGCGGCGCCTGCAGAGCTCCAGGCTGCGCGGGAGCCCCGCGGGCGGCGCGATGCCAGGGGAGTTTGGCGGGCTGGCAGAGGCTGGTGGCGTGCGCAGGCTTCCTGCGATTCAGTGACACGGCCACTACTCTGTGCGCCCTCGCCCCTGACTCGGCCCGTGGTGGTGATTCAATCAAATGAGCCTCTCAAGCGCCTTTTTAGGAAGCACCTGCCACAGCATGCTATATTTGGTGCCGCACCAGCATAGACATGGCCGCCGCCCTTGACGACCTCGGCACCCTCGCAGCGACCCCCGCACTCTGCTCACCCGTGCAGCAGCGCGCTGCGAGCCGCCGCCAGGCATGCGCCCACGACCATGAGCGTCAAGCCGCCCTGGGTGAACTGATTGCTTGTAAGCAGGCCGTCCAGCAGCGAGGGCGCGCCGCCGCCACTAATGCATGCCGCCCCTGCATTTGCCGCCCCAACAGACGGCGCCGTTTCGCTGCCAGGGGCCGCCGCTTGCCGCAGTGCATCCGCACGTGCAAAGAAGAGACGCTGTCCGCCCGCTGGACAGTATTGAGATGCTGTGTAAGGGGCCAGCGTCGCGACCAGCCGCGTTCCGCGCATCAAGCAGCGGCGCAGCGTCATGTCGTCTTTCAATTGCGGTGTGGCCACCACAAACTGGGCACGTGGCGCTTTGTGACTAGCGTCACCTCAATGAATTTTACAACGTGGATTCGATGCGACGGGGGGGAATCTAGATGAGGTTTTTGAAGCCAGCTGCGGCTTGATCAACGATCTCGAGCCACTGCACCTGTGGAGCAATGTGTCGCGTCATTTAAATAACACCGCATACTACGAGGTTATGCGGCCTGAGCCCGGCTGTCGGTGGTCATAGCTCGTGGGTGACCAGGTAACCACCCCACCGATGCAGGTGACCCATGGCTGACATACGTAGGTACGATACACGTGCGGCAGGCCACCATCCATGAAACTTCCAGCAATTCTGGGGCACACATGCAAACAGTCAAAGTGAGGGAGGTGCACGGTCGTGTGCACATGCGCTGTTGGGTGGGCAGGCCAGTGACGCGTTTGCTCGGCATTGCTGCTGACAAGCGCGTTCCAGGTATCCTGTCCTGGCGCATGGCATCTCCGGCATGGATGTGCTCGTGTTGCACAGGGGTTCTTTTGTCTTTAGGTACACATGTATGTATTGCCACAAACCCCTGGTCACATCAAAGCCACATCGTCTGTGGTCCCGCTGGCTTGCCTGTCCAATTTCCATCCCGTCACCCTCGCGCTGCGAATGTCGTTTGGCCTGTGGCGCGTGCAGTTTGTGAGACACCAAATGTATTTTGGGCAAGCAGCCTCCGGCTGGGACGGCTGGGGAGATGGCCAGTCCAAGGGGAATCAGGAAGAACGAAAGCGCAATCCACAAGTTATCCTGGGAGGATGTCCACACCGCCAATGCAGACCGCGCAACGCTGGCCCAGGGACGCTGATTGCATCACGTGCCGGCCACCTACGCATAGGGTTCAGCTATGGCAAAGCCAAGGATCAATATGAGTGGCTTTGCACCACGCCTACTCATCCATGCATACTGCCAGCCTACGCACATGCAGGATTTTCCAAATCGTGGACCTACCATGGGCGTGCGTGCAATGTGGAGTATGGAGTAACAAGATTCAGCACATTGCTTCAATGATGGTATATAAATGAGGTCGGCAAGCCAACATTGCTGAACGAGGGGACCACACATGTGGGGTGGCGGCTAGGCCGGCGTGCGCCCCCTGATAATCAAACGTAGCACCACTCTCAACCACCATTATCACATCCTTCACCGGGTTTCATAGAGCCTGCAACACATCCACACACCTGCGCTCTGCAGACTGGCCCCTTGTCAAATGACTTGCAGCCATGCCAAATGGGTACCCCTGCTGCGGGATCACTCTTGATGGGTGACTCTTACTGTTGCTGCTGCTGCTGCTGCTGCTGCTGCTCCTGCTGCTGCTGCTGCTGCACCTGCTGCTGCTGCTGCAGCTGCTGCTGCTGCTGCGGCGGCGGCTGAACAATCCCATTCCGCAGCTCCAGCTGCGCCTGCTTGCACTGCTGCCTGTGCCCCGTCCGCACCCAGTGGTTGCGGCAGCAGGCCTGGCTGCAGTAGCGCACCCCCGTCAGCGTGCCGCACCCCGCACAGCGCCGCAGCTCCGCGCCCTGCGCGGATGTTCTACCGCAATATGAGCAGCCTCGAGTGCGGCCGCTGCGTGGCCCCCTTGCCGCAAGACACGCTTGCCGCAGGCCCGCTCCGGGCGCCGCGGTGCCGGCGGCGGCTGGCTTCGGCGGCTGAGGCTGGGGTGTGGTTGGCTCACATGCGTCGTCACGTGCTGTCAACAAGGCAGGGGCCTGGAGCCATCTGTCCTCCTCAGGATTCTCCTCAACCTCAACCCTGACCGCAGCCGTGCCCGCTAACATCGCTGCCAATGAGGTCCAGCCCTCCTTGGGCATCAATTCAAGACGCACCGCACGCAGGGCGGCGTGAATTGCCGGCGCAGTCATGGTGATGCAGCTGCCGTGCGCGGCCTCCGCTGGAGCGCCCCCGATGCAAACACTGCAGACAGGCCCAAAGGCACGGCCGTCACCAGCCACTGGGCGCTGCACGGCGGCGCGAAGCGCGTCGGTGCCGACTCGGAAGAGCATCGTCGCAGGCGGCAGCGGCCAATCAGATGCGGCCGCTTTGCCTCCACGGCGCTCGCTGCCGTAACTCCCGCTGCTGCCACTCGGCTGGCTCAGGGCAACCCGCCCCTCGGAACAAGGCTCGCGCAAAGCACTTCGTGCGGGATGGTCGTCCTCGTGAGGGGCTGGCTGCTGCCTGCCCGCCAAGCGGCGCGCGTCGGCCAGCAGACGGGCAAGCAGCGGCCGCAGCTTCTCGCCTGCTGTTGTGTCCCTGCTCGCCGCCGCGTCCTCTAAGCTGCAGGCCGCCTCCACAATTGCCGACGCCAGGAGCGCTTGGCCGGTCAGCCGGCCGCAGCCGCAGAAACAGGCGTCGGCGGCGGCGGCGCTCAGCTCCTCCAGCGGGCGCGGCGCCGGCGGCGGCCCTGCGCAGCAGCTGCTGCTGCCGCTGCTGCTGCTGCCCTCTGGCTCCTGGGTGTCGACCAGCAGTATGAGAGCCACAGCCGAGCACACCGCAGCGCACGTCTCGTGCGCCGCGTGGGCGGTCTTGTCCGCGATACTGTCAGGGCTGTCGGCACTGTGATCGCCGCTGCCGGTGCTGCTGCCGGTGCTGCTGCTGCCATTGCCACCGCCGCTGGTGCTGCCGCTGCCACTGCAGAGGCTGCTGGTGTTGCCGTCACCAACGACAGCCCCGCCGCAGCCCTCCTCCTGGCGGCCGCGCCGGTGGGTGGCGAGCTCCCTCATGCTCTGACGCAGCAGCGAGGGCGCCGCGCGAAGCACCTCGTCCCACGCGCCCGCCCCCGTCAGCCGCGTCGCGCCGCTTGAAGCGTCCAGCAGCGCGCCTGCGACCAGCAACCGCAGCCCGGCCGCGGCGTGCGCCTTGCACTGCCACAACCGCAGCACATCAGAGGCCTCCGCCGTGCAGTCGGGCAGCTGCAGGAGGGCCGCGCTCAGCAGCGCGCGCACAAGCGACCCATCCGGGTCGGCGGCGTCCGGGCAGCCGGCGAGGCGCGTCGCGATGTATGACACTTTGTGCGCGCCGCGCAATGCCTCGCGCAGTGCTGTGGCGTCACCTGAAGAGCTCGCGCGCCGCAGCTCGGCGGTCACACGTCCGAGGAACGCGGCAGTGCCCCGAATGATCCTCTCCTCCTGTGCGGCCTCACGTAGCAAGCCAGGAGCCAGCAGTGCCAGCGTGTCCGCCGCAACTTCCGCCCAACTGGCGCCCCCCTCAGGGGCGAGCCCCCGTGCGATCGCGGACAGCAGCGCCGCGCGCATGCGCGAGGTTGCGGCGGCCTCCATGCTGCGGCCGATCCACGAGATGAAGCGGGGCGCGTGCTTGCCGGCAGCGGCGGCCGCGGCAACGGCGATGGGGGTCGCCCAGCGGTCCAGCAGGGCGACTGTGTTGCCCCCCTGCATCAGGACGGCCCCCGCCGCCTCCTCGTCTCGGCGAATCAACTCTTCCAGCGCGCCGAGGGCGCACTCCCGCACAATGTCCTGAGGGGGCAGACGGGTCGGCGCGGGCCGGCGGGCATTTGAATGCTATTGGTCGGGACGTAGCGGGGGCCAGGAGGAGGTGGGAAATCGCGTCGCACACGCGATCAAGGACTGCCGGCGCGCCAAAACGACGTCACGCCCGCCGGCCGCGCGGCCTTACCACGCAGCAGCCCCCTGCGTTTTGGCCCGACCCAAACCGCGTCGCCCCGCTCACGGTGATGCGGCGGCGGTCTGGCTTCCGCCCATCTCCCGCCACAGCGACTAGATCGAGCGCCACGCCGGGCGGCATCGCCCGAGCCAGGTTTTCCCCAAACCCAGGGTCTGCCAGCAGCAACGTCATCTCCTTCAGCACACTGATCAAACACGGCGCCCGGATCAAGCACCCCCTGCTTCGGCGTGCCTGGGGGCTGCGACTGGCGTAGTCTCGCACCGCTTTGGCCAGGCTGCAGGCCAGTGCTTCCATGTCGCCCGGCCGCAAGCTGGCCGCCAGCAGGCTGTAGTCCTCCTTGTACGACGACGTGCTGTAGTCACGCGACAGGCCGGCAATGGCTCCATGGCAGGTGGTGTCTAAGTCTGCGACGCAGCTACCCACCATGCGGCAGGCAGCCGAGACGAACTCTGGCTCGGCGACGAGCGCGGCGCGGCCGTCGGCGCCGCAGTTGTCGAGCAGGCCGACGCAGGCCTTGAAAGCGGAGTCGCGCAGCAGGCGGCTGCGCAGACAGGGAGTGGTGTGGGGATGAGCCGCGCACAGGGCCAGGCGCAGCCGAGAGCGCCCAGGTCGACGCTGCTGCTTAATCAACAGCGCCAGCTGAGCACGTGCGGGCTCGTCTTTGTCTGCTGCACGATACTGTAGATCAGCTGGCCTCAACATGAGCATTCAGAAATACCAGCAAGCGGCATCGCAAGGCGCTCACTCAGGAACCTGCTCGGCAGGGTCCAGCAGCCGCGTGAGCGCCCGCACCATGCCCTCCTCCCGCAGCACCAGGGCAGCAGACTCGGCGCAGTGCGTCGTCATGTGCTCCACCACCCCTGCGGCCCACAAGGCGGTGCGGTTGGCGCTGCCGATGCAGGCGACTGCGCGGCCGAGGAAGCCCGGCGCGGCGGCCAGCTGCACCTGCCTTGCAATCGCCAGATCAGCACCTTTGAGCATGGGGCGGGGAGAGGGTGGGTCAATCATTCGCACCAGCTGCAACAAATTCAACAGCCGTCCCGACCGTGTGGCCATTCAGCCTGCGTGGCTTCACTCGCATTGGTCGCACTGCTGCATTTGTGGTGTCCGCGGCCACCCGTAACGCGTGTGTTTGCATAGCGAGCGGCCTGTGTGCTTAGTGGTCACCCCCTTGAAGTGCTGCCAGCGTGGCTGCCTCCTGCATGGCTGCTCCTGCACGCTCGCGGTGCTTGTTCGCAGTACAAGTCGATGCTGTCGCGAGACAGGCAGTCCGGACTGGCAGTCCGGCGGGTTTCCTCTGCCGCTTGTTTGCGCAAAGCTTACCATCCACAAGCAAAACAGCTGCCATTAAAACCACCTCTGCTGCACTGATGTCCGTTGTGCCCAGGCAGCCCAGCAGCTGCTGCAGCACAGCGTCCGACAGGACCACCGCCGTGGCGGGCGGAGCCCTGCTTCCTGCAGCCGCGGCGACCCGGCCATGATCGGCCTAAACCGCTGTGAGGAGCGAGCGCAGGGCGGCCGCAGCGCGCTGCATCGTTGTCTCTGTGGTGCGGCGCGCAGGCTTGTGCCTCAGCACGGCGACCAGGGCGAGGACGGCGTCGTCCAAGGGTTGTGTGCGCTCCGCTGCGGCACCCTCGCGAACCGGCACTGCCGCCATCGCGGAATGCAAGAGAAGGGATGGCTGTGGTCGTGCTAGGATTTCAGAACAGTACTGTGGATCGTTGAACAGTATGGTGGCTGGCAGCCTCGGTTCAATTTGCAAGTGACGAACACAGTATTTGAACCGTGCGACATTTGCGTGCCTGACTTTTGAGCCACAAGAAGGTGAACTAGCGCAGTCACCCGTCGATATCATCCACGCTGTTGCTACCAATCACCATGCATGGGGGCAGTCGCTCGCCGAGCATGGTGTGCGTGGGCGCTGAGCTGGCAAGTGACAGCATGCTTGTGAGCTTGGCAGCCTTTACCCACCATCCACAAAGCCTGTTGCCTTGTGCGGTCAGGCATCCAGATGCTGACCACCCCCAGCGTGCTGGCATAGCTGATGATTGCATATGCCACGCATATGCCCATACTGTGCTCCTGCTCCTGCCTCCGGTACCAGGCGACTCCTGTGCCCCTTCCCCTGCCATTGAGGCCGGTTCTAGGTTTGGTGTCGGCCTGTGATGTTCCAGATGGAGGCCCGATCAATTACTGTTTGATTTTCTGTGCTTTGCGTCGGGATCACAAACCGCTAAGCAAACGGCCTGCCTGATTGTGCAGCAGCAGCCTAGCGCCAAGCGGCGCCAGGCGTCGAGAGCGCAGTCCAGGGTGCTGCCTGGCATTCCTTTATTCGTGGTTCTGGGCTGCCCGCTCAAGGCAAGCTTGCTAAAATGAGCCATCACAGCCATAATATCTATACCATCGACGCGCAGCACCCTGCCAAACGGGATAACCGGCGCCAAGCAACGCGCCGTGCATGCAGAGTGTGAGTTGGACAGTGTGGGTTTGAGGCAGGGGCGGGCGCAGGCGCGAAACGGCATATGGAGAGCACGCTGCTCTCACAGACGCATCGTTGCAGATGCGCGCACACGCGCGCGTGCGCGTGCCCCGCGCGCACAATTTGCGCAACCCGGCGTAACCCGCGGGTTACGCTGGGTTATCAAGGGCGTCCGTTGGTAGGGACCGTCTGCACCATGTGGTGAGGAAACAAGGCTGCTGGGCAGTATCATCCCATATCCTCGAAGGCACGAGCGTTACTCAATGAACAAGCCAGAATATTGTGCACGTCGCCCCAGCCGCATGTGTGATCGAGAGGCACGCTGGCCAGAAACCCACCGCCTGTCAACCCAGCGTGCCCCCACTCGCATCGTCACTTCATTAGCACGTAAGGGACCCCAGCATGCGCTGCTCATCCTCCTCCATCCGACGCGCCTGCGCCTCGTCGCGCAGCAGGCAGTACAGCTCCCGCGCGCCGCGGTACAGTCCCGCCGCTTCCTTGCCACGCTTAAGGCAGCCGCTTGCCAGCGCCATGCGGGCGGCAACCCGGGCAGCCGCTGTGACATGCGCGCGCCACGGCGCCTCCTCACCCCCTGCAGGTGCTGCTGTGTCGTTCCGGGCATCGCTGCAGCCATCACAAGCACCTCCTGATTCAGGTGCGGACAAGCTGCAGCCATCAACACGCAGCAGCTGCCTGGCAGCTGCAACGACTTCGTCCAAAGGCGCCAGGCCCTCCGGATGTCCGCCCTGTACGCTCTGATGCAGCGCATCGCCCACATCAGGATGCGGCTGGGCAACCCCGACGGCCCCACTCGCACCAATACTGCTGCAGCTTGCACTCGATCCTGGGTCGGGGCCAGCAACCTCGGAATGCGCGGCCGACATGGCGCCAGCCGCCTCACAAAGTGCTTTGCGGGGGTCCGTTTCCAGCAGCGGCAGCAGTGCGCTCAGCGCGGCGCGGCAGTCCGAGAGGCACTGATCGTATCGCTCCAGGGGCAGCCAGCAGGCGGCCCTATTCGCCAGGGCGCGCGCAGCTTCGGCGTTGCCAGTGCCGCGCTGCGCAAACATAAGGAACGTGCCGCAAGAGTGGTATGTAAAGACACCCAAGTCTCGCGCCATGGTTTACATCCGCTCTGCACCTTGGCAGCAGCACCGGTTCTCGTTCAGAGCGGCAGCAGTCGCCCACCCCCTGGAATGTTGGTGTTTGCTGAAATTATCGCACAAAGCAGGCCGCACCCTTCAAGGCCAGCACATGGCACCCACCTGCATCTCAAGAGCCACTCCAAACGCCTGCGCCGCCCCCTCGTAGTCCCGCACCCTGAACCGCTCCGCCGCCCTCTCCCACACCGCTGCCGTCGTCGCCGCCCCCTGCCGCGTGGCGGCCTCGCCGCCGCCGCTGCCATGCTCACCAGGCGCGTCCCCCTCTGCTGCATCCGCCGCGGCAGAAGGCGTGGCTGCTGCGCCTGTGGTCTGGGGACACGCTGCCCGCACCTCTGACAGGTCTGCCACCAGCCGCTCGTTTCCGGGATCATACCTGAGAGGCAGTGTTGGGCACAACAGGTGGCACAACAGGCGTCGACAGACGGGTGAACACTGCAGGCGGGGATCGGCTGGGAAACTCTGCAACGCACGAAAGTCCAGCGAGGCCCACGAGAAATACCCATCCGGGCGCAGCCTGGTTGCGATGCTCCTGCCCGAGAGCCTCACCTGAGGGCCTCTCGCAGGTCCGCCTCTGCCGCTTCCAGCTGCCCCAGCTGCACGGTAGCCGCCGCGCGCCTGCCCAGAAGCTTCACCAGCAGCCGCGCCAGCCGCTTGCACTCCGGCACACCCCCTCCTGCCAAGGACTCTGGACTGGCCCTGCTCTCACTGGGTGCCTGACGCGCTGCTGCCGACTCGGGGTTCTCTAGAGCACGGCCGGCCGGCCGCGCCGCATTGGGCTGCCTCATGCTCGCCCCCGCCGCGCCCGGCTGCTGCGCCCGCTCCAGGCGCGCGCGCACGAGCTCGAGCGCCGCGGAGCAGTCCGCCACCACGGCGGCAGCGGCGCCGAGCTTCAGGTGGCACGCGGCGCGGTTGGCCAGCAGCGGCGCGGCGTCTGGCGGCTCCAGCAGCAGGGCGCGGGTGTAGGCGTTGCCCGCGCCTTGGTAGTTGCCCTGCTCGGGCGTGAACACGGTTGCAGGGTAGGCCGGGTTGGGCAACAAATCACCGTTGGCAACCAGTCGCCTCGTACAACGCTGCACTTCCTGCCCGTGCCAAGAGGCGCCGCGGCGCCTTTGCGGCACACGCGTCCCTGGACACTGCTGGATTTTTTTGTCCCCCTTTCCAGGCTGACCTGCTTGAAGAGCGCGTCCCCCTTGTCCTTGAGGAACGCGGGCTGGCGGTCGGCAATGTCGGCGCTGTCGCGAGGGACCTGCTGGTGCGGCATGTTGGCGTTCCGGTGCATGTGTGCGAGTGCGCATGCTCATGAATGGGAGCATGTGTGCATGTTTTTGGGCACGCGCGTGTGCACGTACCTGCAAACATGTCTGTATGTGTGTGAGAACGTGCATACGTACATGTGTGTGTGTGCGTGCGTGCGTGCGTGTGTGTGTGTGTGTGTGTGTGTGTGCACGTGCATGCATGCATGCATGCATGCATGCATTGTCTCTGTGTGTGTGAGCTTTTGGCAGGCTGGGTCCCCAAAGGGAAATGGATCATCAGATCCTGCATGCACTCATAGAAGCAGAGGGAGGGCGCTGGCGGGTGGCGCGGCACCTGCCCCCCTTTCTTGTGTAGCCGCAGCTCCTCCTCCCGCTGCTCGCGCGCTGGCAGGTGGGGCGTCTCCAGCGGCGTGAAGGACACCTGCTCGCAGGCGTGGCCGTTTGGTTGGGCCCTGGTATCGCCTCAATATGCCCTTCGTACTGCGGAATGCACGGCACAGCTGAAGGCAAATGCTGCGTTAGGCACGGTTGGGTCACAATGCTCCTGCTGCAGAGTGTGAAGGCAGGCCTCACCTTTACCGGCGCCAGGCTGCCCCTCCGCGGCAGGGGCACCGCTGTCGGTTCGGGGCTGTCTGTGCCACTGCAGCCGCCGTCGCCGAGCAGGCCGTCCGCTCTCGCCACTGCCCCGTCGCGGCCCCGGTGGCCCTCGCTGCTGCCGCTGACAATGCTGCTGGCATTCCCCTCCTCCGCCGCCTCCGCCTGTGCGCCTGCCCTGCCGCCGCCCAGCCCCTCATCACTGCTGGCGTCGTCCCGCTGGTCTGCGTGGCACCCTCCCCGGTCCCGTTGACCCGCGGACGGCCACCAGCCCCTGCCAAAATACTCTGCATGCAAGCTGCTGCCGGCGGCCACACTGCTGCCGGCGGCCACACTGGACGCTCCCTGCTGGCACGGCGGTTGGTCTTGGGCGCTGTGGCTGTCGGTGGCCGCCAAGCAATGCATTTGTGACCGTTCTTGGCCAGGTTGCATTTCTTCGCCCTCCTGCTGCAGCTGCTGCTGCTGCTGCTGCTGCTGCTTGCTTGTGTGCTCCTCTTGAGCCTGCTCGTCCTCTTCGTAATCTGACTCATCACCCCTTTGGCCGGCGCCGTCTGACGCCCCCAGTCCGGCCTGCCACTGGTGCAGCTGCTGCCGCTCATCGGCGAGCTCCTGCATGTCAGGATTCATGGCACAGAAGAAGCCAAAAGTTTGCAACAGGGAATCGTCAAAAGATGCATGAGATCTTGAAACTAGAAGGATACTCGTCACGTTTGACGCGCAAGGCATGGGCCGATGCAGTACATGTGGTCACATATATGCATGCGTGACGTGCAAGCTGGAAAGAGGGGGTTGTGGCCCCGCCAAACGAGCGCCCACGAGAGTACCTGCTGGCGGCGAGCCTCGATTGTGTCGCGCCGCTGGCGATCCAAGGCCAGCCGCCGGTCCACCGCATTTCTGTTGACCACGTTAGGGATGCAATGTAACATGTGACACATGCATGCTTTCGACTGGGATGGCAATGTTTTCTTCTCGGGAATTCAGAGGACGTTTGAAACATGACACCCCCCCTGCCACTGCGCGCACCAGAAGCAATCTGTAAAGCCGTTCATAGCGCAGGGGAGGGACGCAGGGGTTGGGGGCCCACCTCTCCTCCTGCTGCTTGCGCTTGACCCGCGCCGCGGCGGCCGCCGCCTCCCGCTCATGAGCGCGCCGGATGGACTCGTCGCGCCGCCGCCTGATGTCGTCCTTGCCGCCCTCCGCCGTCAGGCTGCCCCACAAGCCGGCCTCCCTCTGTGGCGGCAGATGCTTGACACGTGATGCGGCCGGGAGGCAGCGGGCACGTACACATGCGAATGGCGGACGCAGTGCCCGCACTGTAAAGCAGCAGTTGCGGGGCAGCGGCCGACTTCGAGCCCCGGCCCACCAACCTTGCGCAAGCTGAGCGTTACTCTGCTGCCATGTATGGTGGCGCGGCTGCTGTCTTCATCCACCTCGCCAAACAAGTCGAGCACCAGGAAGTACGGCGCAGCAGTGATCTTGACGACCGCATCGCCGCACAGCAGCTGCCCGGGGTCCTTGATGCTGATGCCATGCACCTGGATCGATATCAGATCCTCTGTCTGTGACCAGGTATAGCGCGGGGCCAGCGGCATTGCTGCTACGCAAACTTGCCGCGCTCCGACGCAGATCGTATGTTCGCTCCGCGCGGGATTCAGCACTACACAGCATACATGGTATAATGGTCGAATAATATATGGCCTCCGCCGTCGAGAAGCTCCTGGACTGCTGACCCCTCACTGGCGTCGCACGATGTAATAATGCAAGCACTTAGTCAACCCACATGCGCGCCCATGCAGCTGCTCAAGACTGTTCCGGGAGTGGTCGCAAGTGCAGCGGGTCGCGCAATGCACACATGCACCGTCGATTTACAGGTAACAGTGTGAGACTAGCCGGGTGAGGCGCGCCAACAGGCAGGGATCCACGCCTGGCTTGCCGCTGCCAGTGGACGCCGCTGCGCTGCCGCTGGAGCCGCCGCAAGCCGCGCGCAGGCCGCCACCGCCCAGCGCTGCATCCCGCCACAACCGCAGCCATGCGGACAAGATGTAATCAATCCTTCGCAGCGGCAGCGGCTTGGCCGGCGGCAGTTGCGCGTCAGTCGTGAAAAAACGCATTGCTGCCATGTCGCGAAGCCCCGCGCCCTGCTGAGTCAGCGTCTCCCAAGTGCGGTGCAGCTTCTTCCATACGCTGACATCATCGACAAGAAACGGCGCCTTTGCCTGCTGCCCTATCGCGTCTGCCGCCGCGCCCCCTGCCAGACGGCGCCGGGCCGAGCTGCTGCGGGCCGGTCGGCCGCCGCCGCCGGCGGACGCCCGCGCGTTCAGCGCCCCGGCGAGTATCAGGTCGTGCGCCGGCTCGAAGCGGCCCAGATTCTGCAGCTCCTCCTCTGCATCCGCGAGCGCCACCAGGTCGGCGGGCAGCAGGCAGCGCACGCACGAGAACGCGTCGCGCGCCGCGCCACGCGCGTCCGCGTCGTCGCCGCCGTCGGCGCCGTCGCTGCACATAAGCGGACGCAGCGCCCGGACGGCGGCGTTGGAGTGCTCCCCGGTCGCATCGGCGCCGCCAAGGTTTGCAGCGAGCGCAGTCCGCCTCGCCCGTCGCAGCCGCCGCCGTGCCGCGGCCGTCGCTGCCCCTCCGCTGCCGCGCCGTGCTGCTGCTGCTGCCTCGTCACTGCTGCTGCCGCCACCAGTGCCGGCGCTACCTGGGGCGACGTACCCAAACGCAGTCGCCGCCGCACGCAGCGCCGCCGCGGCGCCGCTGCCGGAGCCCTCTTGCTGCTGCCCTTTGCCGGCCTCCCCCATCTTCTGCTGCCGCCCCTCCGCCTGCCGCAGCGGGTCCACCGGCAGCCCCAGCAGCCTCAGCATGTCGCGAACAAAAACCTCCTTTTGCTCGTCAAACCCATCCACCAGACCGCCGCCGCCGCCGCTGCCGCCCTCGCCGCCAGGCGCTCCTGCACCACTGCTGCTGCTGCTGCTGCTGCTGCTGCTGCTGGTGCTGTTGCTGCCGCCGCCGCCGCCGGTGCTGCCGCCCCCTTGAGTGGAGAGCAGGCAGTCCACCGTCTCCTTTCGCCCCGCGCAGCCGCTGCGCTGGCGGCGCGCCATGGAGGGCACCGCATTCACCTCCAGCATGCGCGGCCTCAGGGAGGGGTCCAGCACGAAATCGAGCCCAAAGTACTCAAACGCGCTGTTCGGGGGCGCCGAGACGTTGAGGGCGGCGGCGCGCATTGACGGCAGGCCGGCGGCCAGGACGAGCGCCGCGGAGGCCCGTATGTCCTGCCATGCGTCCGCAAACGTGCGACGGCTGCCCCCGGCGCCCCGCCTCGCCCCATTGATGCCGCCGCCGCCGCCGCCGCTGCTGCTCCTCATCAGGCCCCTGCCCGCAGCCGCTTTGGCCGCCGCCCCTGCTGGCAGCGGCTCCACCTCCTCAGGGTTGGCTTTGAAATGCGCCTCCAGCTTCGCGAGGCTCCAGATCGCTGACTTTCCCCGGTCCTGCATCCACAGATTCACAATCAAATCGTCCCCGGTACCGTTGCCGCCGCCGCCGCCGCCGCTGCCGCTGCCGCTGCCGCCCCCGCCGGCGTCCGGGGTTTGCGGGTCGCTGCCCAGAGCGTGGGCGCGGGCGGGGGCCGCAGTGGCGTTGGAGACGGCGCGCTGCTTGCCGAAGACGGCGAAACCGCCCTTGAACAGGTAAGCGCGCAACGGGGTGACGCTGGTGACCAGCAGCCACACGCGGATGTAGCTGCTGCGGCCCTCGACGACCATCTGGAGGGGAGCGGGCGCAGGCGTCACGACTCATGGGTTGTTCGCCACACGCGGGGAACGGGCAGCCACCACCACAAGAGCTGCTCAATCAGTGGAAGCAGCGCAGTGGTTCCTCGCTGGGCGCAGGCCCTGCGTTGTTGCGTCTCCGCTCAACGCAGTGCAACAAACAGCTTCCGAGTCGCGGGCCTGCTCGGCACGGCTGTGCCCGATCCAAAGCGGCCGCCGGCGTGCCGCCGGCCGGCGCCGCCCAACCTGGGGTTGCAGGTATCGCTGCACCAGGATATGGCGATAGTCCTCGCCCCCCTCCCCCGGCGCCAGCGCCTGCGCGACGGCCTGGGGCTGTGGCACCACGCTGACGCCCTTGCCGCGGTGGATGTTGGCCTTTAACACCCACTTGGTGCTGGCCGGCGACCGGGCCTGCGACCGTCAGCGAGGCGCGCAGGTGTGCAGGTGAGGCAGGGGGTGAGGGGCCAGCACGGGTTTGCTGCTGGGCGCGGGCGATGTGTGTGGAGTGGGGACGCGGCTTGTGCGAGCTTTGGTCGTGGATGCCCGGTGTCTGAGCCTGATGCAATACCGCAGTCCGAGCTTTTCGAGGGTGGGCTGCCTCGTGGGCTGGTAGCGCGTGCCACAGCGCACTCGCGATGCCAGCGTAATCAACCCTGAATGTGATGCAATAGCGGACCCACCTGCAGCATGTGGCTGCGCCAAACCCAGTACTGCTCTGGCAGCTGGTAAGACTGCGGAATGTAGTCAAACGCCAGCTCACCGTAAGCCTGGGAGGCACGTGCGGGTCAAGGGTGGGTGGGGAGGGGCAGGGCCGGGTGCGGCGTGTTGGGTTGGCGGTTGTGACGATGCAAGGCGGGCAGTGAGGCCAAGGTAGCTCTGAAATCGATGCTGAGGGCGCGATGAGCCGAGCACGGCGTATGGCAGTCCCGTCCCCATGGATCAGCTGGGGCCAGCTCAGCCACGGGACGGTCTTGGTCTGGTGATCAACTTTTTAGTCGTCCATGGGCGCCCCCGCCTGTTGGACCGCGGCAGGCGCCGCGCCACGGCCCGCCGCTAAGGGCCGGCCGCGCACCTCCTGCCACGACTGCACAAACTCCTTCTTGAACGTGATGGCGCGCACGCCTGGGATGCAGTTGGCGCGCTGGCCCGGGCGCATGTGCTGAAAAGCCATAAGGCACGCCTGCCGGAATGGAGAGGCATTGCAGGTGTGCGAGAAGGGCGCGGTGGCGCAAGCGCAACCCTGCTGAGTCCTATGCATTTGCGGAACGATCGGCCCCTGCCGCCCACTCCTTACCGTGCCGCGGCGGCGCGATGGGGAGATTCCCGATGCTGAGGGCTGCGCATAACGCTGGTGCTGTTGCGACCGGCACCAAGTGATGTGGCAGTGGTCCGCGCGATGCAGAGACCCTTGTTCCCTGCCCAGCAGAGGGCTTGCAGCTGCTCGGCCCACAACATGCAATCAACCCGTTGGCCAGGGCGGCCCTAGCTTGCGGCGAGGGGGCCGACTTGGGCGCGCACCGAGCGCATCGTAATGTACACGTCCCACTTGTCGGGGGCGTAGTAACCCTTGACCGACAGGAAGGCGCCCGTCGACTCGCCAGAGATCGTCAGGCGGCCGCCAGACGCGGCGATGTGGGCGCGCAGGATCTCGGTCTCTCCCTCTAGGAAGTATCCCTCGTCGATGAAGAAGCGCACGGGCCCCCCGGCTGCGAGCGGCGCTAGGGGTTGCACGACTGGCTGTGCCTGCCCCTTCCCAACGGCGGCCGCGCCCTGCTGCTCGGGCGCCTCCAGCCGCGCCTGCCGCCGCTTCTTCGGCGGCCGGCGGTGCCTCAGCATGGGTGCTGGCGACATGCGTGAAGAGCTGGTGGCCACGCCGGCCCCGCCGGCAGGCTGCAGGGCGGTTGCCAGGCGCAGGGCGGCCGCGATGTGCAAGGCTGCCGCCAGGACCAGCACCCCCACCCCCACCACCAGCACGCGCCGTGCTATAGAGCCGCTCATTGCTGGTGTGCTAACCAGTGCGGCGGGCGGCGCGGGAGCCGCCTGCGCCTATGGATGGTGTGCAGCGCGAGGCGGCATGCGCCTCGGTGTCAGTGTTCAAGTTAGACTTGCATGCAACCACATCGGCCGGAATCGCTCAGGCCACCATTAATCCAAGATCTATACAGAGTGTACGCTGCGCGCCGCCATCTTCATGAAGGGCGTGAGCCCAGCACGCGCGAATCAGACGTCACCCGGGTGACATATGGGTTTTGACACAGAGTCAGCACGGTTTGGCTGGTAAAAATGAGACTTACATGTCTGATCGGTCGTTATGCATGGTTTAAAAAGCCCATGTGGCTGCAAGCGATCTGATCTGCTAGTTGCATATCGGCCGAGTGCGGGGCCGTGAAGGCACCATCCTATAATCATGGGACCCTTGGAGCTTTACAAGAGCTTCGTGCGAGAGCACTCCGCGCTAGTGGTGAACCTTGAGCGGCTTGCTCACTGGGTTGTGTGGAACCCCGAGCGCTTCAATGAGCGATCGGAGTTTGCGTATGAGGCCTTCAACGCGGCCGTGGGTCTCCTAGGGCTGTACAACGAGAGCATCATTTCCAGTGACGATGGCGCGGGCGAGCAAACAGATTGGGGCTTCCTCCTGGCCGCGGTGGAGCAGGTGAGACTGGTTAAAGAGAGCAGTGCGACATTTTTTGGAACTGCGGGCCCTCAGCGATGCAGTCGGCACGCAGGCGGCGGCGCTGACGGGGCCAGCACAGCGCATACCGCCTGCACATTTGGCAATCGACATCAGTGTCAGCGCCCGCTCGCATGCTTGAAGGTCGTGCATAACAGATAAACTCCGTGCGTGCGCTGCCCATTTGAGCATGCGCTGTGCATAGGCAACAACGGGCCCAGCACCCTCAGCAGCTTCGGCCACCTACCGTGGTCCAGTGCCCAGCGCAGGGCCTTGCCGCCGCTCTGACCCCCCCTTCTCCCCCCAATCAGGTCCAGACGCTGGTCGAGCTGCGGGGCATCCAGATGGAGCAGCGCGGCAAGATGAGCAGATACGGCCCCCTCATCGGCCTGGAGCTCTTGAAGTGGGTTGTGACAGGCGCAATCAGGGGGCCATGCGAGCGGCCAGGCGCGGGCGCATGGCGAACAGCGCGCCAGTTGCATGCAGCAGGACGGGCTCGACAAGCCCCAAACACTGGGGTGAGGGTTCTCATTCATCATTCACCTGGTGTGGTCAACGCTCTCCCTGGGATCGATGCGGCATGCGGCGCCCCAGCTGCTTTCTAACGTACCCAACCCCATGACCGAACACCTTTCAGGCTCGTCATGCGCCTGCGCATGTGGTCGGCCTGCCGCTCGCACTTGGCGCTCGAGGGTGCCTCGAGGGAGGACCGGGACCTGTACAATGCGGAGCAGCGCCTCAAGGGGCTGCTGGGCGGGCTGGTGCGGCTGCGGCGCAGGTACGACCCTGGAGAAGGGGCAACGCCCAGCGGGGAGTGCAGCCAGGGCAGCGGCTGGTATGGCGGCGGCAGTGGTGGGGACGGCGGCGTGGAGGGGGACGGGGGCAAGGAGGCGGCGGGAGCGCATGCGTACAACGCGCGCCAGGCGGCGGCCGCGGCGGTGCGCGCGGCGGCGATCGCGCCAGACCGACCGCCGTGCGCGTGCGGCAGCAGCGGCGCGGCGATGGCCATGGGGCGGGACGGCGCGGCGGCGGTGGTGGCGGCAACGGGCCTGGGCGCGGCGAGCGGGCCGCTGGCTTCTCACCAAGCAGAGGGAAGCAGCGAAAGCAGCGGCGATGCTGGCCCCACTGCCTCAACCGCGACAGCAGCAGCGGCAGCAACCGACGCCACGCCCGAGGCGAGCCAGTCCGAGGGGCCCTCCGCAGGCGGCGAGGGCGCGGGCACGAGCGTGTGCGGCGATGGCGCCGTGGCGGCGGCGCGCGGCGGGCCCAGCGTCGTGCGCGTGCATCGCCCGTTCCGGTGGGGTTGGTGGGGTAGCAGCGCGCGCGGCGCCGAGGGCGACGAACGAGAGGGCGCGGCTGCGCCAAGCAGCGGCAGCAGCGGCGTGCAGCCTGGCGCACTGCCCGGCAGCTGGGCCCCGCCCTCAAGACCGCCCGTGCAGCGCCCGGCCGCCGGCCGATGGCCATGGGACCGCCGCCCGGTCAACGCCGCTGGCGGGCCCTCAACGAACGCCGGCGGCGGCGGCGGCGGCGACGGCTGCGGGCGGCTGGAGGAGAAGCTTCTCGAGCGGCAGGCGGGGTGGCGGCTGGACCCTGCTGGCATGGACGCGGGCGACAGGGTGATCTGGCTGGGCGAGCTTACGTACCTGCTGCGGCCGCTGATTTACGTCTGCCTGCTCAAGAGGTGAGAGCAGGGGCAGCGGCGGCCAGGCGCAGGGATGATTGCATGGGTACATGATATGTGTAGGAGCTGCGGCCGGGGGTTGGGCACAACGCAGCGCTGACAAGAGCGGCCTCAGGCATAGCAAGGGGCAACCCGGCCGCTTCTGCGTCTGTCATGGATCGATGGGCCGGGAGAGTCATTGGGGCAGCCAGGCAGCACGCCATGGCCCCCGACCGCCTCTGCGCCTGCCGCACGGCCCACGCACACACACGCAGGCATGGGCTGCGCAGCTGGCGGCCGTGGGCGGCGTCCCTGGGCGTGGAGCTGCTGTCGCAGTACATGCTGGGCACGGGCCACGCGATGCTGCAGGCGTGCGGCAACAAGCGGTGGCCGCCGGGCAGCACGCTCTACAGCCTGGCGCTGCTGCGCGGGCTGACGGCGCGCAGGTGGGGCGCGGGCACAGGGGCTCTCGCGACGCTGCTCGGCTGAGTCCCCTGGGCAGGGGACCTGGTGCTGCCTGTGCCGTATGGGTTTGCTGCAACGCGGCGCGCTGCATGTATGGGTTTCTAGGGGGGCTTCTTACAAGCCGCCGCGCCTCATGCACGCGCCGTATGACAGGTGGGGCCCCACAGAGCAGCAGGAGCTGCTGGCGCGCCGCCTTGGGCTGCTGCGCTACCTCCTGCGCAGCCCCTGCTACAACGTCGTTGCCAGGTGGGGTCGGGCTCGGAGGCACGTCGCTGACTGTCCACAACACGAGCCCACCCGCGAATCGGGGTGCCTCATGTATCGCGACAGAGGCGGTGCTGACGCCGGCCTGCGGCGTTTGGGTTCGCATGTTGCCCTCTAACTGGTGCTGCCTGGCAGTTCGTTGCGCTGATTCGTGACGCCCGCTTGGCGCGTCCACCCGCCCTCCCCAACACGGCCCACCTCCCTCACCTGACCTTCCCGCCCCTCGCCACCCCGCCGCGCCGCGCCCCTCCCTTGCAGGCCGGCCGTGGCGCGCGCCGTGCGGTCGACGCAGTGGGTTCCCCTGCTGGGCACCCTGGGGGCGTACACCCTTGAGCTGGTTGACAGCATGCAGGGTTACTACACGTATGTCGAGAGCTGACCACGCTGTGGCGTCATCAAGAGCGGCCGGCGACCATGCGGCCGTCGCGGGCCGCCAGTGTTTGGGCTGGGCGCTCGCCAGAAACGGCGCTGCGGACCAGGCAGGCATCGGGCGGCTTGCTATCTACACGCCGTCCCGCCAGCGCCAGCCCCTGACCCTGACCCACAGACCTGCACGCACAGCGAGTTGCTTGGCGCCGTTTATTCCGTTTGGCATGGAGCTGCGTGTGTGACCCACCCAGCTCCTTCCCAAACCGTGTTCACCCCTGCCATCGATGTCCCTCCCGCCTCTGTGCAGCAAGTATTGTCTTCCTCACATGGATGGTTGCGTTTTTTTCTGTCGTCCTCCTTTCTGTGCTGTGATGGCTGACTAGTGCTGGCAAGCTTGCCAGGACCAGGCAGCCCGTGACCATGGCGCCAGGTAACACCCCGGACGGATTGCTCCACAATTGGTGCCGCTTGGCGCCCAGGTGCTCTGGCACAGTCAGGCGGCCGGTTTGCTCGGCAGCGTAGATTCAAAACGCGAGTTTTAGTCCACCACACAGCCATTGGGCGTGAGTGCACTCAGAGCAGTTCAGGCCGACACCACACCCAGAACGGGGCTCAATGGGAGGGGAAGGGGCGAAGCAGACGCCTGAACCGGTGGCAGGGCAGGGGGCACAAACGTTGCTGTGATATGCACGCACGAGCTGTGCCAGCGTGTTGGAGATGGTAAGCATTTGATTGCCTGAGTGCATAAGACCGTCCGCTTTGTGGATCTTGGTTTGCTGGCTTGGTACAGTATACATTGCGCCTCCCATCATCCCAAGCATGCTGTCACTGCTCGCCTGCTCAGCGCCCACACCGTTCAAGCAGCTGCCTCCCAGGGGCTTGGTAGGCACACCAGGGATCATTTTCATGGGTACCTGCGCTTCCATCTTCTTCACTCTCATAATCACACAAGTCCCCCAAGTTCACGCTTGCACACTGCGTTTGCGCTTCGTTGTTCCAAGGGCGAAACTGAGTCTAAACATCACCTGCAGGCGGAACTGAGGCTGCCAGCATACTGCGCAGCATATTCATTGATGTAAACGTCCAGGACTACGGCAGCCAAATCGCTGCTTGCCCTGCGCGATGGCGGCAGGGCGGGCACGCGACAGTGCCGCAGCTGCGAGTGCCCAAGCCTTTGACAGCGCCATCCTTGCCCTGGTTACCGTGCTGAGGCGCAAGCCGACGCGAGGCGCCAAAGAAACCACACGGCAGCGCGCCGGGAACGCCCTGCATTCGCTCGGCGCAGCGGCTGAAGCTGATCGCAACCGGGTCATGGGCATTGCAGGCCCCGTGGCCGCAGCGGCGCCTTCAGACGCTGCACTGCAGCAGCTGCTGGGCTGCCTGCGCACGACGGACACGGGCGCGGCGGATGTGGTTTTCGAGGCAGCATGTGTCCTCATGCTTGGTGAGCTTGTTATGCATATGCGTCGGAGGGCCCCCGCTGCCAACAGTCGCCCTTTCTATCAAGCCAACGCTGCCAGCGCAGTGCCCCATGTCATGCTGACGTTACCCTGCAGTGACAGCCATGCAGGGGGACAGCGGGAAGTGCTGGTAGCACTTACGTTCGGGTGGCGACTGAGCAGCTGCTCGCCGCGCGAACAGCATGGTTTGCAGGCGGCCGCTGTCGCCGCAAACACAGCAGCAGGACAGATGCAGGCGCAGCCACGCTGGCATGTGGCTGGATGGCCACACGGCCGGAACGCCTTTTGAGACTGCCGCGCCTGGTGCAAATGACCAGCGCGCCCTCTCCCCACGCCACTCTTGAAGGTTCTGGACATGCGACTGCCAGGCAGGTGCAGCTGGCCGCGGCGCCCGGCTTCCTCAGCCGTGCGGTCGCCTGCATCGGCAGCGCCAACCGCACCGCTTTGACCGCCGCCGAGGCGGTGCGAGCCATGACGACGCACTGCGCCGAATCTGCTGCCCTGGTGCTGCGGGAGGAGGGCATGGTGCGGGCGCTGGTGCGGCTGCTGGACCCTGCCAAGGCGAATCCCGAGTGAGCACTTTATGCAGAGATGCATGCCGCTTACCGGCGTTGCTTGTCGTGAAATAGAAGCCAGCTGAAACATCCTGCATTAGACACCAGCGAGCCTGCACATGCCAAGCCGACCCTGTCAATCCGCGGCAGCGTCGGCCGGGGCGCTCCCGGATGTTTCGTTGGCGGTTGGTGCCGCGCCCGCGACCGCGTCGCGGCCTCACCTCGCCCGGCGCCCGCGCCACTCCCTGCCCACGCAGCCGCTCGCTGCGCGACGCTGCCTTCAAGGCCTGCGTCGGCCTGCTTACAAAGTGCGGCACTGAGGGCCGCGCCGCGCTCGCCGCCGAGCCCGCGTTCGTCGCGGCCGCCTGCCGCATGGTGGGCAGCTGCATCGCAGACTCCCTGTATGTCAGCCTGACGGCCCTGTCCAGCCTGGGGCAGGACTGCAGCACGCCGCCGGCCGGCGAGGGCCGCAGCCTGCTGGCGGCCAGCTTGCGGGCGGGAGACCTGGAGGCGCTGGCCGGCGGCCTGGCCAAAGCAGTGCGGGACTACGTGCCCGTGGGCAACAGCCTCCCGGCGCACGACAACGAGCCGCTGCGGGGCGCAGCGGTCAGGGTGCTCAAGCTAGCGGCGTGGCTGCTGGCAGACCCTGGGCTCGGGGACGGCGCGGCGCGGGCGATGCCGCCCGGCGCTGCGCTGCACATTGGCGCTTTGGCGCTCGGCGTGCCGGGCGCCGACCCCCGGGACGTGAGCTGGGGGCGCTGCGCGTCGGGTCGGGGCCGAAGGGGTCGGGGCCCTGGTTCGTCGCACGACCGGCGAGCATGCCGTCGTCGATTCACCCCGTCGCACATCTCTGTTCGCGTGGCCCCCGCAAATCCCCGCGTATCCGCTGACACCGGACGCCGGGATGCGCGCCGCCCCGCGCCGGCCGCTGTGCCTCGCAGGACGAGCTGCGGGGATTTGCTGGCCGCGCCCTGGACGAGCTGACGCGTCGAAGCGTGGAAGCCGCGGGGACGATCCTGATGCAGGAGGACTTCGCCGTCGCACTGCTGGACGGCTGGGCCGCCGGCGCCGGCCCCGGCACTGCCGCCGGCTCGCGCGCGCCCCAGTTCATCGCGTGGCTCTGCCGCGTCGAGGGCGCCCCCGTGCCCCCCCGCGCGCGCGGCGCGCTGCTGTCGGCCATCGCGCGCGGGCTCTAGCAGGCGGGCGGCAGTTGGGCGAAAATCGCGGCGGGCGCGATGGCGCTGCTGGCCCGAGGGGAGTTGGCGTGCGAGGCCGCCGGCCACGACGGGATCATGCGGGGCGTCGCCGCGTGGCTCGGCCGCGCCGCCGCCGAGCTGCGGCGGGTGCGGTTGGCGCGCGACGCCGCGTCGCTGCGCGGGGCTCTCTTGTCAGCGGGCGCCGCGGCGGAGGCTGCAGCGGGTCTTGCTTGCTGGCCGGGCGCTGCGAAGTCGGCCGCAGCCCGGGATGGGTCGCTTGTGCGTGAGCTGCTGGGTGCGGCCCTCCTGCAGCTGCCCGACTGCACGGCGGAAGCCACTGACGTGCTGCGGGCGTGGCAGTGCAAGGCGCACGCCGCGGCCGGGCTGCGGTTGCTGGTGGCAGGCGCGCTGCTTGACGCGGCAGGCGGGGCGCCGCGGCTGACGGGCGCGGGCGCGTGGGATGAGGTGCTTTGCGCTGCGCCCTCGCTGCTGCGGGAGAGCGCGGCCGTGCTCGTCGCCCACCGGGGCCGCCGCCAGGGGGAGGGCGACGGAGAGGCTGTTGTTGGTGGCAGCTGTGCAAGCAGCGACCGCAGCGGCGGCGGCGGCCATAGCGGCAGTGGCACTGGCAGCGGCAGCGCCACCGCCGGCGGCAGCGGGAGCGGCAGCAGTGGCGCCCAGCACGGTGCCGAGAGGCCTGAAAGTAATGCGGACGCGACCGCCGACGCGGCGCACAAGACGTGCGCCGCCGTGTGCTCCACTGCGGCCCTCGTGCTGCTGATTGACACACAGGAGCCAGAGGGCAACAGCAGCGGCGGCAGCAGCAGCAGCAGCAGCAGCTGCGCGGGTCCGGCGCTGGAGGAGCTGCACGCCGCAGCCGCCGGCGTCTGCGGCTGCGGCCGGCTGACCGGCCAAGCGCTCCTGGCAATGGTGGAGGCGGCCCGCGGCCTGGAGGCTGCGGCGGCGAGCGGGGACACGGCAGCATGCGAGCTGTTGCGGCCGATGCTTGCCCGTCTGCTGGCCAACGCGCGCCGCTTGGCGGACGCGCATGCGACAGCGCCGTGCGAGGAAGGCAGCCCCGAATCGAGCAGCCTGCGGCCCACTCAGGTCGAGGGGCGGGCCGGCCCGAGCCAGCTGAGCGGCGGCAGCGGGCGCTGCGGTGGAGAGGCGGCCGCGTTTTATTGGCCGCCAGCGCCTGCAATGAATTCTGTCCGAATCGGCACCGCCGCGCTGCGCGATGCCGTCCAGCGCCCTCTGACTGGTTGCGCCGGCGCCCCTCGGCCCATCTGCCGCGTTTGCGTCGGCGGCGATTCGGCAGAGGCGTCGCGCGGCGGCTGCGGCACCTCGGCCGCGCCGGAGATCGGCGCCGCTCTGCGCAAGGTGTATGCGGAACCGCTGCCCTTGAAGCGCAGTGCCCCGTTGGCAGTGATGTTGGCGGGTGCGGCTGGTGTCAGGGCTGAACTTGGTGAGAAGCCTGAGGAGGATCGATGGTTCGAGGCCCCCGTTCCATTGGCAGCCCGCGAGACTGCCTGTGAACAACCTGCACCACAGCATCAGCCGCCGAAGCGTAAACCCCGCACGCCCCCAGCTGTTGAGCCGGCCGTCGCCTGCGCCGCGGCGCCCGGAGATGGCCCGGCGCAGGACTGCCTTGCGCCCCGGGCGCCGGGCAGCGGCCGCACCCGCGGCTGCGCGTATTGCGGGAGGACGTCCGCGCAGGGCGCGGCGCTGCGGCGCTGCGCGGGGTGCGGCGCGCTGACGGGCGTGCGCTACTGCAGCCAGGCATGCTGCCGCAACCACTGGGTGCGGACGGGGCACAGGCAGCAGTGCGAGGAGGCGCAGCGGCAGTTGCGGGAGCAGATTGTGCAGCAGCAGTAGCAGCAGCAAAAGTAGAAGCAGCAGCAACAGCAGCAGTAGCAGCAGCAGATGTCAGCAGCAGCAGCAGCAGAAGCAGCAGCAGAAGTAGCACCAGCAGAAGCAGCAGCAGCCACAACGACTGAAGGATCAACAGCCGCAGCAGCAGTGAGCCTCACCCAGCACGTGTAATCAGGCAGCAGGGTTGCACATATGGCACGGCTGCCAATGAGCTTATCCGGGGCGGGTCGCGTAACGCAGGTGTGAAGTGTTGCAGGCCACATGTGGAGCAATGGAGGGCGTGATACTGGTGGTTGAAAGTGCTACTCTCGACGGAGTGTTCAGGGTTTGTGACGGCGCACGCCGGCCTGGTTACCACCTATTTGCCGTGCCCTCCTGCAGCGATTTTGTCTTGCTGCCCTCGTGTTGTATGAAATGTGGCTTTGTGCTGAGACGTGTCAAATCATACTCCACATTGCATGCACGCGTACAGCCCACATTTGCTGTCAACTGCAAACTCCTGCCTGTGCGCTTCGTAAACTGGCCTGGAATTGATGAGCAGGCGTGGTTCAAAGCCGCTCAAAACAACAACAACTCACTAGGCCCCGGGTTCAACCTCACCATGTACCTTAAGCTAGGGCCATCCGCGCTTCCTTTGTGGCTCGCTGCAGAGAGCGACGCCGGGACAGCCAGTCACATGTCGTGGTCTGTTTGCTCGGCGGACTGTGCTTTGCTTTACAGATAAGGTCTGTAAAAAGCACAGTCCATCACCCAGTTGTTAGGTGGAAATGCACCTGGAACATCACAGGCCAACACCACACCCATCGTCCTAGAACCAGACTTAATGAGAGGGGAACAGGCTGCAAAGCTGCCTGTATTGGTGGCAGGGGAGGGAGGGCAGCGGCGGCATGTGCGCGCCATGTACATATCTGGCAACACGCTGGAGGTCAGGAGATAGTCAGCGTTCGGCTGCCTGACCACACTGTACTTACGGCTTTGTGGTCCGTGGGTTGAAGGCTGGGTGCACATTGCGCCTGCCAAGCATGCTGTCATCATTGCTCAGCGGCCGCACCATCAGAGAAACTGCCTCCCTGGTGCGAGGTAGCAAGTAGCAACAGCGAGTGGGGGTCAAGTTGATGGGCGACTGCGCTATTGCAAACGCTTTCTTATCATATTCTTGCGAACATTTCACAGACACGCGCGCGCAACTGTCACAAAATTTCATCCTTGGCACGCGTTCGTATCTTGCAACTGAGCAACGATGTAGCTATTCGGAGGCTGTCGGCATATATCTCAACAATCCGAATTTACGTTCTGAACGCCTGGCGCAACCGCATCATCCCGTCGCTTGCCCTGCGAGATGGCAGCAGGGCGGGCCTCCAATGGTGCCGCAGCCGAGAGCGCCCAAGCCTTCGACAGCGCCGTCCTTGCCCTGGTCACCGTGCTGAGGCGCAAGCCGGCGCGCGGTGCCAGAGAGCCCACGCTGGAGCGCGCCGCAACTGCCCTGCATTCTCTCCGCACAGCGGCTGAGGCCGATCGCGGCCGGGTCGCCGCCGCTCCAGGAAGTGGGGCGCCGCCCGCCACGGCGGCGGTGCCGTCAAACGCTGCGTTGCAGCAGCTGCTGGGCTGCCTGCGCACGACGGACACGGGCGCGGTGGAGGCGGTCTTTGAGGCCACATGCGTGCTTGTGGAAGGTGAGCGGTGCGTGTGCACACCTGCGGTTCGAGGGGACCAAGCCTGGCACATGCCCCTCACTGCCAGTGACCACTCGCGGGCAGTGACAGCCATTCAAAAGGCAGACATGCTGGCAGCGTGCGAGCCAAGCGGCCGCTCAGCAGGCCGCTTCCCATGCAAACAGCACGCTCTGCGGTTGGCAGCAGGCGCCGCAGGTGCAACAACGTGACTAACGCAGCTGTGCGGGTTGCTGTGTGGCTGGATGGCTGCACGATTGGGGCGTCTGCCATGTTACCGGCAACTGGTGCAAGTCAATAGCAGACCCTCTCACTGCCCCTTTCCTCAAAGGTGCCAGCCTGGCGACTGCTCGGCAGGTGCAGCTGGCCGCGGCGCCGGGCTTCCTCGGCCGCGCGGCTGCCTGCATTGGGAGCGCCAACCGCGCCGCCTTGACCGCCGCAAAGGCAGTGCGAGCAATGGCGCACTGCGCCGGCTCGGCTGCCCTGGTGTTGCGGGAGGAGGGCATGGTGCGGGCGCTGACGCGGCTGCTGGACCCCGCCAAGGCGAATCCCGAGTGAGCACCTTGCAATGCCACTTGCTTGTGTTTTTCGAACGCCCAGGTTGAAGCCAGCTAGTATGTTATGCTGCAGTCGACACAGCCAAGCCCGCACGTGCCGGGCCGACCCTGTCAATAAAGCTGCAGTGTCGGCCTGTGTGCTCTTGGCTGCTTACCCGGCGGTCGGCTCCGCGCCAGCGCCGGCGTCCTGGGCTCACCTCGCTCGGCGCCCGCGCCAATCCATGTCTGCGCAGCCGGGAGCTACGAGACGCTGCATTCAAGGCCTGCGTCGGCCTGCTCCTCAACAGCGGTGCCGAGGGCTGCGCCGCGCTCGCGGCCGCGCCCGCGTTCATCTCGGCCGCCTGCCGCATGGCGGGCAGCCGCGTCGCCGACTCGAGGTTCTTCAGCCTGACGGCCCTGACCCGCCTGATGCATGAATGCAGCACGCTGCCGGCCGACAAAGGCTGCAGCCTGCTGGCGGCCAGCTTGCGGGCGGGAGACCCGGAGGCGCTGGCCGGCGGCCTGGCCAAAGCCGCGCGTGACTACGTGGGCAGCAGCCTGCAGGCAAGCCAGAGCGAGTCGATGCGGGGCGAGGTGGTCAAGGTGCTGAAGCTGATAGTGTGGCTGCTGGCTCAGCCGGGGGCCGGGGACGACGCGGCGCGGGCGATGCCGCCCGGCGTGGCACTAGATCTGGCCGCTTTGGCGCTGGGCGCGCGCAAGGCGGACCCCGAAGACGTGAGCGGGGGCGTGGGGGGATGCGGCTTGGGTCGGGGTAAGATGCAGGGGGCCCCGTGCCACAGCTGCGCGGCCGGCGTTCGGGGCGAAGTTCTGGCGCCCGCCAGCCGTCCCTTTACTGCTTGCCGTGTGACCCTCCCCCCGCCTGGCGTCCCGGCCAACGCCCAAATCCGCACGCCCGCCGGCCTGCGCCGGCCGCCTCGACCCTCAGGATGAGTTGCAGTACATGGCCCTGAGCGCGCTGGAAGAGTTGATACGCCTCAACGAGGACGCGGCGGGGGCCGTCCTGATGCAGGAGGACACCGCCGTCGTCCTGCTAGACGGCTGGGCCACCAGCGCCGCCGTCGCCGCCGCAGCCGCCGCCGGCAGGCAAGCGCCCCATTTTCCCGCGTGGCTTGGCCGCAGCATGGAGGCCGCCGCGCCCTCGCCCCTGCGCGCCTCGCTGCTGTCTGCGGTCGCGCGCGGGCTCGCCCCTGAGGGAGGCCCCAGCTGGGCAAAAATCGCGGCAGGTACGCTTGGGATGCTGGCTCCCGGCTTGCTATGTGAGGCAGCACAGGAGGAGAGGATCGTGCTGGGCACTGTCGCGTTCCTCGGACGCGCGGCTGCCGAGCTGCGGCGCGTGAGCTCTGCAGGCGACGCCGAAGCGCTGAGCGAGGCGTTGTGGAACGCGCACAGCATGTCGGACACCGTGGCGCGCCTCGCCGCCTGCCCGGGCGCCGCTGTGTCGGCCGCGGCCCTTGATGGGTCGCTTGTGCGCGCTCTGCTGGGTGCGGCCCTCGTGAGGCCCGACTGCGTGGCGGAGGCCTCAGATTTGCATCAGCTGTGGCAGTGCAAGGCGAACGCCGCAACTGGGCTGCGGTTGCTGGTGGCGGGTGTGCTGCTTGAAGCGCCAAGCGGCGCGCCGCGGTTGGCGGGGGCGGGCGCGTGGGACGAGGTGCTTCGCGCGGCGCCCTCCCTGCTGCGTGAGAGCGTGGATGTGCTTGCCGCCCACAGGCGCCGCCGCAAGGAGGAGGGTGGTGGTGGGGAGGTCGTCGGTGGCAGCAACATCATCGGCGGCTATGGTGGCGCCGGCAGCACCAGTGGCGGCGGCATCGGCAGCGGTGACGGCAGCAAAAGCAGCAGCAGCAGCGGCGATGACAGTGCCAACAGCCCTGACAGTATCGCGGATGGGATTGCCCACGCGGCGCACGAGACGTGCGCTGCCGTGTGCTCGGCTGTGGCTCTCATACTGCTCATTGACACCCAGGAGCCAGAGGGCAGCAGCAGCGGCAGCAGCGGCAGCAGCGGCAGCAGCGGCAGCAGCGGCAGCGGCGGCAGCTGCTGTGAGGTGCCGGGGCCAGCGCCGCGCTCACTGGAGGGGCTGCGCGCTGCGGTCGCCGGCGTCTGCGGCTGCGGCCGGCTGACCGGCCAAGCGTTCCTGGCGTTGTCGATAGTGGATGTGGCCTGCAACCTGGAGGCTGCGGCGGCGAGCGGGGCTGCGCGGGCAGGCCAGGAGCTGCGGACGGTGCTTTCCCGTCTGCTGGCCGAGACGCGCCGGTTGGCGGGTGCGCAGCCGCCAGCGCCGCGTGAGGGCGATGCTTCCCAATCAAGGTGTCTGGAGGGGCCTCAGTTTGAGGAGCGGGCCGCCCCGAACCAGCTGAGCTGCAGCAGCGGGTGCCGCGGCGGAGATGCTGCCGCATCCGAGCAGCCGGCAGCGCCTACGACAGCGGGCGTTCGGACCGGCACCGCCGCCGCGCTGCGCACCGCCGTGCAGCGCCCTGCGCCTGGTGAGCGCGGCGGCTCTTGGCCCGCCTGCAGCGTTTGCGTCAGGGGCTCGGACGGCAGCTGCAACAGGTTGGACGTGCCGCAGGTCGACTCCGATATGCGCGAGCTGTGTGCGACACCGCCGACGGCGGAGCACTGCGCCTCGCTGGCAGAGCTGGTGGCAGGTTTGGCTGGTTTCAGGGCCCAGATAGGCGAGATCCCGACGGTGGACAGATGGTTCGAGGCCCTTATTCCGTTGGCAGCACGCGACGCTGCCTGTGAGCCACCCACACCCCAGCCTCAGCCGCCGAAGCGAGAG